CTTCTTCCCCTTCCCCTTCTTCCCCTTCTTTCCCTTCCCCCCTTCTTCTCCTTCCCCTTCTTTCCCTTCTTCCCCTTCTTCCCCTTCTTCCCCTTCCTTTCGAGACAGGATTTCTCTGTGGAACCATGGCTGTTCTGACACTCACTCTGTAGACCAGGCTGGCTTCCGCCTGCCTCTGCCTCCCAAGTGCTGGAGTACTGGGATTAAAGGCGTGCATTCCACTGCCTAGCTTAGGTTTTCATCCTTTGTACTCCTGAAATGTTCTACACTATTTGACATTAGTTTTAACTGATAGTTTTAGCATCACGTTGGCTGTGAGTTCAGGGTCTTGCTGCCTGTGTTAGCATATGGCCCAGGCTCCTCTTAGATGAGTATATTTAAAAGTCACCATGGAAGCTGTTTTTTAGGGTGTCTCAAGTGAACCTCCTCTTATTAAATTGATTATGCAGAAATCTATTTGTTCAGGACCACTGACAGTTGCTTACTTCAGAGGAGAGAGTCCTGGCTTATTTTGCTTTTTACCTGGAAATTATCCCACCCACCTTTTTATTTTCCTGCTTTACTGTCCAAGGTTATTAGGCGTCCCCACACTGATTTCATTTGGGGTATCCTGAGATAGCTCTGCTGTAGTCAGTTTGTGAAACTTCTATTTGCAAGTCTTACTAAAACACCACTCTCCAAAATCCTCACCCTGGCCTCTTATAGTTCCCTGTTGGATAATCTGGAGAGGTGGGCACCTTTGGTTGTGATCTGTCCGTTTGTCACTGGGTGAGTTCCTCCAAATCCAGCCACTTCTACCAGTGAAGACCACATCTAGGTTTCCTTTCATCCATCTTCCAGAAAAGCCAGAGTGATCTTAGTACATCTCAGAACTGGTCACTTACATAAGGGCAGGAGGCAGCTGCGTGGATTCTGAAAGGGCAGGGGAAGGATGCTGGTACTGAGGACACTGTTGTATGGCTCGTGTCCCTGCTGCTGTCTGGACTGGAATATTACACTACAGTTTTGAAGATGTTGCTGTCATGAGAAATTGAGCAAAAGGCCCACAGGGGTCACTTCTTAGAGCTCCATATATATTGTACTGTATTCACCAGGGGAGGTGGAGATTACTGCCCTGTTTACAGTGCCTTTCTGGTCTTCTTTGGATAAAGAGTAAAGCTCTCAGTGTAATCTCTGTCATTTGGTGGACTGGTTGTAGCTGTTTATTCGGTCATGGTGTCCCACTAGCTGTCTGTGTTCTCAGTCCTCTGACGTTCTTTTGTATTTGTATTTTGTATTCAGCTTCTTTTTATAACCTTACTGCTAGGTTCCTTCTACTCTGGCTTATCCTTGGCATTTGTTTGGTTAGTTCCCTTTCCTCTCTTACAATCAATTAATTATACTTTCATTTTTAAAGAGAACCCTTCCCTTGAAGGGTTGGAGAGGTGGCTTAGAGGCTAAGAGCGTTTGCTGCTCTTACAGAGGACTTAAGTTCAGTTCCCAGCACCCACATGGTGGCTCACAAGCATCTGTAACTCCAGTTCTGGGTGATCTGCCACCCTCTTTGGTCCTCTGTGGGCATTGCACACATGTGGTATACAGACATGCATTGTAGGGAAAACCCCCATACACAATTAAAAAAAAAAAAATTAAGAGAGAACCTCTCCCTGATTTGCCAGATTATTTCAGGTTTCTTGTCTTAAGAGCTAATAAAATACTTGCACCATGTATAGCAGTCATAATTTGTCACTTACAGTTTTTACATGGTTCTTTAATGCAGGTAGGTATGTCTCTTCACTAGACTCTGGGAATTGGGTTTTGTCTTTATCCCTACACATGTACTAGTAAACAGAGTACATGCCAGACAGAAAGGTACTGCCTCCCTCCCTCAGTTGATGTTTGCCTTTGTATACAGACACGTGTGTTGTATAGACTACTGTTGAAGGCCAGGGGACCAAAGGCCCAGCATAGACATGCAACTTACCTCTTCTTCCCAGACTGTGAGTGAGAATTCCTCTCTGAGTGCCTTAAAATAAACTTCTTTCAGGTCACAGGGGCATTGTTGGGGGATGGGATAGGACATGATTACGCTGGGTGGCTCTGCACTTCAGTGGCTTATTGACCAAAGAGCCACTTGAGGCTCTGGCCTCTTCTCTCAGGCAGGTGGCCAGTCTTCAATTTGTTGGGTGTATAGGGTTAATTGGAGCTAAAAATTCTTTGACTGACTGAAGAGTTGTGTTTTATTTCCTTGATTGACAGACTTCTCCATTGTCAGGCTTTCCAAAAGGAAGGTCCTATCTGTGTGAGTGGCGTGATTGGTGATCTGAATGGCCAGTGTCCTTAAGTTGTAGAATCCACTGCAGCTGGTGTGAGTTGGGGGTACTCATTAGGATCAGGAAATTGTGCTTATGCATTTTTACGAAACCAAACACCTCCTCATGGCTCTGGCATAGATGTAGTCAGGGGAGGTGTTCAACAGTGTTTTGGACAGAATGCCATGGCTGCTGCTGCTTGCCATTAACTTAGAAATCAGACTTAAGAAACTCTGGAACTTTCACTAAGTTGCTGCAGAAAAATCACAGGCCTGCTTGTGTGGGAGCTGTGTGGCTTCCAAGTTACAGTGTATCATTATGTTACCCAGATTGTGCATAGGTGTATTTACTTGATGGAACTGCTTTGCACATGACACTGGCTGCTGAGGGAGTCTTAAGAAATAGTCTCAAGTGTGTAAGAAAGTATACTAGAACCTGGTGCTGTATGAGCTAGTCTGCCCTGTCTGCATAGCCTGTCAAGAGACTGACCATCAAAGATATACCTCCCTTGCCAGTAGATGACTGATTTGAATCCAGTGTAAATGATACACTTTGGTATCCAGAAGGAATTTTGCGTGGGACCAAACACTGATGTTCTTTTAGATTTCCCAAGGTGGATTTTACCTATGTTGTTTCTACTTTATAGATCTGTGATTTTGCATAATATCTATCCATGTATTTACATATTCATTTATGTTACATCATTGCTGTGAACAGTAAGTGTGGACTGTCTCATACTGTATTAGAACCTAATAATACAAAATAGTATAAGACAGTTTAACCAGGATGCTCTCAGACTCGGTGTGCAATGTTTTTCTGAAGGAAGTGTGCATTAAAATCATCTGGTAAAGTTAAAAAAATAAAAGCCCAGCATTTTGAATTTATTAGTTTAGGTGAAGTATCTGGTGTACTTACCACCATTGGGTTCTCAAATGAAGAAGACAGAATGTCTAGGGACTTGCAGCTGGTGATTTTGAAGTGTTCCTTTTTGGTAAAGACCCACAGTGGCTGAGAAATCACTATTTTGGTTTGTTGCTAATGAAAATAGTTTTGGTTTAAATTGGCAGGAGTTAGTTCCTGCTTTTTTTTATTTGTTCAAAGGATTTAAAAAACGTGTGTTTCTTCCTTTCCACCCCACCCCTTACAGGGGCAGAATTACCTGGACAAGTGATCTCCATGGCAGCTTCTACTCTCGCAAACTTGGCTATCTCCATCACAGGGTATGAATCAAGCGGTGAAGACCAGCCCTCCACTCACCCTGCAGGTGACTGATGTCATGAAGGCGCTCAGAACGTTCTAGAAAATGAGACAGAAATAGGAAATAGAGTGAAGAAGGAGGCTGGCAGCATAAAATGGACCTCAGGCTTGCTGGTCCTCCACTATTTTATTCTGATTCTTGTTTTTACACCGTAATCCTCATGTGCTTATTTTCTCATGCTTCTGATTGTTTACCTTTGTGGGTCTCCTATCGTGGCTCCTTCCTTTGCCTTTAAAACGTGCCTTTCTTATGTCTTGCAATTGCACTGTTTTTCTTCCCTTAGTGTCCCATTTACCATCCATAGTTCCACCCTGACTCTATGCTCTTCTTATCTTGTTTTTTTATTTTGTGTTCCTTTTTTTTTAGCAGTCAGTTCTATAGTTTTATTTTTTTACTATTTTTATGTGTTTTCTTTCCTTCCCAACTCCCTGTCTACAGTGGAATGTTTTTCTTTTCCACAGTTTATTTTCATTCATTTTTATTATTCCCCAGCATTCTTTTTCTTGTCTCAAAGTGAAAGTACAATTTAAATGCCTTATGCTGTATATATTTACTGTGTTCCCAAAGCAGCCCCTCTGGTTGCTCTGTAGGGCCTGGCTTCTGTGAGATCCAGCTGGTAGATTCATACCAGGTTTGGAGCCATCACATATCATACTTTCACAGAGTTCAGAAGTGTGTAGTCTGTCCCAGTTTGTACTAAGATGCTCATTAGTGCCTAGTAGAGGTGGAGAATATTACAGTAAACACCCCCCTTTTTTTTAAGTGTGTATGGTTTGTGTGTGTTATGGGCATATAGTGTATGCATGTGTATGTAGAGGCCAGAGTTTGGTGCCAGTATTTTCTTTAGTTCCTCTCTGTTTAATTTTTGAAATAGAGTCGTCCATGGCACCTGGAGCTTACCAATTTGACTTGGTTTGCTTGCCAGCAAGCTCCAGAGATCTCCCTGTCCCTACTTTTCCAGCGCTGGGATTTCAGACACACACTGTAGCCCCTTTTACATGGGTGTTGGGGATCCAAACTCAGGTACTTGTGCTTACGTGCCAAGCACTTTGCCAGTTCAACCATTCTTCAATCCTCCCATATAGGAAGCTCTTCTTGAAGTACTGACTTAGTACATTGTAAATGGAGTTTCTCTGTCCCGTCCCATTACACAGCCACTTTTAAATAATCACTCTGAGGCTTATATTAATTATAAATGTTTGACTGATGACTCAGGCTTATTACTAGCTAGCTCTTGCATTTAAATTAACCCATATTTTTAATCTATGCTTTGCCACGTGGTTCATGGCTTGTTACCTCATTTTCTACAGATCTTGCTTTCTGGGCAGCTGGCTGGAGGTTCCTTAACTCCACCCTTCTTCATCTTCTGTCTTTATCTTATTCTGCCTCACCATTGGCCAAACAGCTTTATTATCAACCAATGGGAACAGCACATATTCACAGTGTGCAGGATTCCACAGCATTTCTCCCTTTCTGTCTAATCAAAAAAGAAGGTTTTAACTTTAACGTAGTAAAATAGTACACAACAAAAACAGTTATCAAGTAAGAATCAGTTACAATATCCAGTTATTTGTATTTGGCAAAATTAAAGAAAATACTCTATCATCTATCCTAACTTTGTGAGTCTAAAGTTTCATATCTAATTTACCTTTTATTATAACTAAGGAAAGCTATAATTATAACTATCTAGTCTTCAACTCCATCAAAGACCCCAGAAGGAGATAATATTACCTGAGTAAACAAGAAGTGCATTGCAAGCAACTAAAACTCTAGAAATGGCAGAGACATCTGGCTGCTTGGATAGTTACCCAAAGTTCTTCTGTAGTTTTGGGGCATCCATCTTCAGCCTATAGACCTAGAGTATCTGGCAGATTTTTTAGTGAAACAGGAAATTTGAAGGACTGTCCCTCCTATATTGGCAAAATTCATCAGTTGCTTTCCTCTGTGTTTCATTCCTGCTGAATGTCTGGCAGTTTGTTCTGTGAAGCAGGAACCTGAAGGACCATCCTACCTTGTTTTAGCAAAGTTTAGCATTCACTTTGATGGCTAAACATAGATAAGAATTATGGCTTAATGTAAGTATAAGATCTAGTTAGTAATAAGCCTGAGCTACCAGTAGAGCATTTATAATTAATATATATAAGCCTTGGAGTGATTATTTAAAAGTGGCTGGGAGAGGGGCAGGACAGAGAAACTCCATTTACAGTACTTGTGTTAAGGAAGGCATAATTTAGGAGAAAGCATCCAGAGTAGGAGAAACACATACTGTTCTGGAACATGAAACCATGTTTCCGAAGCAGAGAGGGATGATACTTAGGTTGTAGAGTTACTGTTCTTCTGGCATTTATCATTCCCACTGACCTGGAGTTTCCAGATCAAACAGGCAGAGCAAAGTCAAACAAAAGCATGCTATCATCAGCTTCACTTTTAGCCTTGACCAATGAGCACAGACACAAGCAGGCAAAGCATCCATACAAATACAATAAAAATGAATCTCAAAAAATGCTTAGCTCATATAGAGTAAAAGGTAAACCTGATTTCCCTAGATCAAAACTCTGCTGATGGTAGTTTCCACAAGTTCGTTTCAGTGCAAATCTGCTGTCTCTTGACCTCATGCAGTCCTGCTACACGTGCCAGTGCAGTGCATTTTTTATTGTTCTTTTCTCATGTGGACTAAGACAGTGTGTGACTGTATGTCTTCGTGTTTTTAGAGCCCGCGGACAGGGGAGAGCCCCCCCCAGCAGTGTCTGCTTCCTCTTCATCCTCTTCCCGTTCCTCGCCCTCTTCTCCTTCTCCTACTTTGGGCAGACAGAGGCCTGAGATGGGGACGTTTCTCAGGAAGAAGAAAACCAGCGACATTTACTTCGTGTCTCTCGTGTGGGCCATCATTGCTGTCCAGCTCTGGCTGAATCTGTGGATCGTGCAGCTGCTGCCAGTGCCTGTTGCAGGTTGTTGTTTGGTTAAGTATGGTTTTATCTTGTTGCCACAGACTTCCTTCTCCTTTTCTTGCAGTGGGATTTTAATGTTTGATATAATCTTATTACCATCTTACTTAAAATAGTTGTATGTTTGTATTAGTTCATGAGAAAAATATTTATTTTTACTTTATGTGTATGAGTGTTTGCCTGCATATGTGTGTCTTTAGAGGCCTGCTCCACATAAAAAGGGTATTTATTGGATCCTCTGGAACTTTGGAACTTGAGTTTCAGACATTTGTGAGCCACATGTACCCATGTCCTCTGCAAGAGCCATAGAGAATTCCGGGACAGCCAGGGATACATAGAGAGACCCTGTTTCAAAACCAAAACAACCTAATGAAGAAATTTTTGAACTGTTACGTCATACTGACTGTTTTACTTTTCTATTGCTGTGACGAAACACCATGACCAAGGCAACTTATAAAGAACTTATAAGCATTATTTAGAGGCTCATCATTGTTCCAGAGGGCTAGAGTCCATGACCTTCATGGTGGGGAGCAGGGCAACAGGCAGGCAGACATGGAGGTGGAGCAGTAGCTAGAGCTTACATGTTGAGAGAACAGCCACGAGGCAGAGACAGGCAGGCAAGCAGGCAAGCAAGCATGTACACATGAACACACAGTACTCCCTCTGGGAATGGCTTGGGCTTCTGAAACCTTAAAGTTTACTGCTAGTGTCTACTTCCTTCAACGAGGAATTCCTCTTAATCCTTCCCAAACAGTTCCACTGACTGGGGACCAAGCATTCAAATATATGTGCTTATGGGATCCATTCTCATTCAAACCACCACACTGACCCTGCAAATTACAAGGTTGGGTTTAAGAATATTGGTCCCAGGAGTTAGAGACATTGTAGTGGAAAGAATCAGTTACCTAGGTCTACCCTTACTGGCCTCTTCCTAGTTGGTTTTAACAGTTGGTTTCTCTGCAGAACAGAGAGGCCTCTCTTCAGATGCACGGAGCAGCATCATGTGAGGAAACAGGAGCACAGTTGAAAATACTGCCTGCAGTGGTACAAAGCCCCTGGGGAAGAGCAGCTGTAATAGCCAAGGAAATCAGTTCTCCTTAGTCAGATAGAGGGAAGCTATGAAGGCCATTGTAGTTCATGATGTTTGTAGGCTAGACAGTGAGTCCTGACTCATCCTGGGATTTAGCTCCAAAAAGAGGATGATATTTAGCTAGTGGGGCTTACTAGAAAGTATGCCTGGTGTGGTGGTTTGAATAGGAATGGTCCCCATAGATTCCTGTGTTGGAATGCTTGGCCCATAGGGAGTGGCACTATTTGGAGGTGTGGCATTGTTGAAGGAAGTGTGTCACTGGGGGTGGGCTTTGAGGTCTCAGAAGCTCATGACAGTTCTCATGAGTCTCAGCCTCTTCCTGTGGCCTGTGGATCCAGATGTGGAACTCTAAGCTTCATCTCCAGCACCATACCTGCCTGCACGCCACCATGCTTCTTACCATGGTGGTAATGCACTAAACCTCTGAAACTGTAAGCCAGCCCCAATTAATGTTTCCTTTATATAAAGTTGCCATGGTCATCATGTCTCTTCACAGCAATAGAAACCCTAACTGAGACACCTGGCCTGTTCCTTCTGTTTAAAATACCTGTGGTCCTCCTCATTCCTTTCCTACACAATCTTGTTTTAGTACTGGCTTTACTGCTTGGAATGGAAACTAAGGAACCTTTTCATGTTCTGCCTAGAAATCTGTGTCCTTTGTGTTTGTATCTTCTCTGTAGTTTGGATAATCAAAAAGCTCGTGATTCACTTTGGAGTGGTGGGCTTCCTGGAGAAACGCTGCCGCGTGTGGTGGCAGGTCATCGAGGGCTTCCTGAAGGAGCGGCAGGAGGCCTTAGCACCATGGCCAATTATCGGGCTTGGAAAGTTCTTACTAAAAGTTGATAGCAAGGTATTGTATGACTGACTGCTTCCGGGATTTTATGTGTTCCATAGCTTGAAACGATCCATTTCATAACATGTGTTAGTTAATGATGTACGTCATATCTAATTCTCCATGAAAATTTAAGGCTTAGAGTTATGTTCATATGAGGAGAGGGCGGACTTCAATGAAACACAGCTGTAAGGAGAGAGCACCTAGGTTGACTTCTTCTTAATAAGGACCAGAATGAAATCCAGAGAGCTGAAGTGACTTGTTTAAGATTAGGTGAGATGGTGGCTCAGAGTGGGAATATTTTTGGAGTGATTCTTGTTTGTCAGATACTGTGTTGAGTTACAGGGGAACTTAACCAGTCCTGGACCCCGAGACAGATGCTCGACTTACTGTCGAGAGGTGGTCATTTTTGAGACCTTGTTAAGCTGGTTAAAGGACATGGAATCTAAATCCACACTCTGCCTTTGGCTCCTAATTTGGTTATTGACTAGCCCTGTGACCTTGGACAGATGGCTTAACTTCTGTGCCTTGGTTTCATTATCAATGAAATGGGTATAATAGCACTTACTCATAATGTGCTTGTGTGTGCTGAGTTAATATAGGCAAGCTCCTATGTGTCTGATGTATTCAGTGCTAGCCAGGACTACAGTTTGTATAGCGAAGTATCTCTGTGACACAGTGGGAGCACTCAGTGAAAATGCCCTCCCTTGTGGCCCAGGTGGTAGAAAGGGCAGTTTGGGGAAGTCAGCAGAGCAGACTGAGCACAGCAGGCGTTTATTAGGTAAAGGACTGGCTGTGCAGAGGCTCTGTCCCTGGGAGGAGGATATGGCTGTCAGGTGTTACAGTAAGGCTTGGGGTTGGCATTGCAGCCCTCCTGGTTGTAAAGCGGCCCTGTGTTAAAGCTCTGTAATGCACTGTTTCTTCCTCTCCTTTCCTGACCCCTTCCTCCCTGCTCTCAGAGACTCTCTCTCCACACTGTTGTTGCATTCTCTAACGATATCCCACTGTTCTTATCTTCTCTCTCACCTCCCTGTCCTCCAGCTCTGGCACTGGCTAAATAAGAAGGTAATAAACATGTGGGTGTGGTTTTCACTACTGAATTGCATACCCTGCCCAGCCCCTCAACATCTCCTTTCTCATTCTGTGTTTCAGTCCATGTGTCAAACTAAGATTTGTTTTTAAAATTCTAACTATAAGCTATGGAAGGTCGTGAAATATGAATTCTGCCATAGAGTCATTTACTAAAACCTCCACAAAGCTCTTAGGATATGAATGCCCCCTTTGTTCAAGTATTGAGAAGTTATGTCTCATAGCCTTTCTGTCCATAGAATTGATTTCCTTGTCTTTTCTCTTTAATGGGGTGACTCTGGTCTTTCTCTCTTTTCTTCTTTGAGTCAAGGTCTTGCTCTATAGTCTAGGCTGGCTTCTAAACTCCTGCCTCAGTCTCCTGAGTGCTAGCATTGTGGACATCTACCAGCAAGCCCAGCTAGCTGTAGGTTCTTTTGGTTTGTGAAACAAATTAAGCTATAGTTATGGTAGAGGAAGAAACTCTTTGTTGCTATTTTTTTAATAAATGACATAGTAATTTTTAAAAACTGACAGATCGGTAAAACACCTGTTGAATTTGTCTTTTTTTTTTTTTTTAAATAAAAACTAAATTGTCTTAGCGTGGGCTTCTGTTGTTGTGGTAAAACACAACTTGGGGAGGAAAGAGTTTATTTCAGCTTGCATGTCTCAGTGATAGTCCATCATGGAGGAATACTGCTTACTGTCCTGCTCCTCCTAGATTGCTCAGCCTGCTTTCTTATGCAACTCAAGACCGCCTGCCCCAGGGGTAGCACCACCCACAGTGGCCTGGGCCCTCCTACATCAATCACTAATCAAGAAAACGCTCCATAGGCATGCCCACAAACCAGTCTGCTGGGGACATTTTCTCAATTGAGGTTCCTTCTTCTCAAATGACTAGCTTGTGTCAAGGTGGCAAAAAATTAACTGTGACTCCAGTATCCCAGAAACAGACTATCTTTCCTTCTTTTTTTCTTTCTTTCTTTTATTTAATCAACCTATAACCTATGACCTATAACATCGAATTCTGTGTTTCATGAGTCATAAGGTCTGTCTGTGGGAACTGCTTTCCATAATTGATATGGCATTGTGATAGGCACATTTCATATCAATTCCTAAGGCCAAACTACATATATGAGGAATGCTGTGCCTTCGACATTTAGTCAAGGTATGGCAGTGTTTGCAAGAGGTGGCGTCATGTATGTGTGTTCTGTTTAAACAGAGGCAAGACTAGGTTCAGTAAAAATACTGTAAAAAACCTTAAAGATGGGGAAGTAGATCAAAGTCACATTTTGATTTTCAATTTTTATTTACTTATTCATATTTGTTAATTATTCAGTGTTTGTTTTTGTGGTGCTGAGGGGTCAAATTCAGGCCTGGAGCATGGCAAACTATCATGTACTACTAGACCCAGATATCTGGACTTTTAAATGTGGAGATTAGAATCCCCTCCCCCCCATTGAAATGAAGAAATGACAACATCTAAGGTTTTAAAACGGGATCGCAAGTAAGCAATGTGCAAAATATATTGTCTACTTCATCCTTAATCTGCATGGTTGTTATTCCTTCATTCCTGTAAACCTAGTGTCAGCATGTGAGTCTAATCCCTGTCTGTCTGACTGTCCGCCTGCCTATCTGTCTATCTATCTATCTATCTATCTATCTATCTATCTATCTATCTATCTATCTATCTATCTATCTTTATCTAGATAGCTAGATAGAATATATACAAAGAGATTATAACACACATTTTGTTAACTTTAATCAAAGTAAAGTGATTATGTATGTTTCCCCAGTTGGTGTCTATTGAAATGAATTGTCCACAAGATAAGTTAGAAAGAAGAATTAAATTTCATTAAGTTTAATTTGATCTACCCTCAGTGGACTAAATGAGATTGGAAACCCTCAGTGGACTAAATGAGTTTGGAAACCCAATTTATGAGCCTAATGTATAGCTGAAAAGCAGAGTCAGTTTTAAAAGATTCCTGAAGGAGCAAGTAACTGCTGTCTTTCATTTTGTGTAGCGTGTTCAAAGCATTGGTGTGTAGTTGAGATGCAGTCACCTGCATTTCTGTGTGTGCTCTAGAGAAATGCATTAGGATATATGATACTTTTTTGTTGATTTTGAGACAGGATTTCCCTGGATAATAGTCCTGGCAGTCTTGAAACTTGATCTATAGACCAGGCTGACCTCGAATTCACAGAGATCCACCTGCCTCTACCTCCTGAGTGCTGGGATTAAAGGCATGCACCACCACTGCCTCAGCTTATGATATGTCCTTCATAGCTTGATAAACAAAGCCAGTTGTCTTAGAAGTTTTAGAGTAGAGCTTAGTGTAATTAAGTTTTAAAAGTGCATCCCCTTCTCATATTTGAAATACTTAGCATGCCATTTTAAAACAGTTCCTCTTCTTTTAAGAACAAAACCTTAAAGGTTATTAATTGGTCATTGCCTAGAAAGATTGGAGCAATTCTTAGATACCGTGTGTGTTGCACAGCCCAGCAGTGATGGTGACAGTTTGGTTGGCGATGCTCGCTGTGAGCATGTGGAAGGTCAGCCTCCTTGGAAAGGAAGCACCTGGCATTCCTCTAGAGACCCCGCGTCCTCTGTCCGTGTTGCTCTTTGCTCTCTTGTTCACTCATGCACTCAGCAGTTGCTGCTTTTCCTCTATCCAGACTTACTGTCCTGATTGTTTGAAATGTGTATGAGGGTTTTGTCTGCATTACGTGTGTGTATATGTCTATATGTGCACTGTGTACATGTAGGCCTGGTGCCCCTGGAAGCCAAAAGAGATTATCAGATCCACTGGAACTGCAGTTAAAGACAGTTGAGCCGCCATGTGGGTGCTGGGGACTGAACAGGGTCTTCTGCAAAGCACCCTTCAATATGTGGCAGGTTGGAAAGAACAAGAGTCTCTCAAGTCTTAAGCAAGTACTTTGTACTGAATTTCTGACAGAATTGGAGTTGGGAAGATTCTACTCTAGCCTAAAACTATGAAGTTTGATTCTGTGATTCTGGTGGGCGTATTTGTGGAAACCCGTGTTTGTATGTTAATAGTACCTGAGGAGGTTAGGGCTCGGTGCTTATTTCTATTTAAAAATAGGCTTTTAAGGATGCTTCCTACATTACTTTCAGAAACCCTTATTCATGGAAACAAATCTGGTTGTACTGAACTACTTTGTGTGTGTGCTGTACAGCCTGTACTCTTGGTTTCCGGGGTTTTGGAGCTGTAGAGGGAGGAGTGAGGCAGCCCTTCATTTGGGGAGCTGCCTCAGGAACTAGAGTCCTGATGGCAAAGCTTCTCAGTCCCTTGATTTGAGAACTTACCTTCAGAGTAAGACACCTGACCTTCCATATCTTAGAAACCTGCCCCCCCTTTAATTTCTGCATTGTCGCTGATGCTTTGGTAGCATGATTGAAGCTCTGAGTGTCGACATTAGATTAACGTTTCGTGTCTGAGTTCACTGTGGCACTAAATGAAGGGCAGTGTCCTTCGTGGAAAACATGAGTTCAACTTCTGAAGAAATAAATGTTGTAAAAGTTGAGATGTTTTTTAAAAAGAAAAATGTTGCCTTTAGTTATTTAACTCACTGTGTAGAGATTGTAGTTTCAATTTAAATTAGGAAAAACTTAACAGTATTACAGCCCACACTTGGGTTGAAGGGTGCAATATGGCACATTAGCAATATTGATCTAATTACGTCTACTTTTGAATGTTCAATGGTGGCTTTGCATGGCAGGAAGTGTAGAAGTCTATCATTGTTGCATGTTCTGAAAACAAAAACTGTGTAAATTGTAGGAATATGGGATTGTAAACGATGAGAAAAGTTCTAGCAAAGATAGAGTATCAAATAACATCTTAAGGAGAGCATAATTTTAGTTATTGGTTAAAGAACAGCTGCTATATTAATGGTTAATGTACTTCATTGAGTTAGAATTGTGTCATAAAGCTTATATTTTCAATAGAATAGAAACTTCTAGTGGATAGCAGGACTTTAAAAAGTATTTTTTTTAAAAAAGTATTTTATTGTGAAATATCTAAAAATCTAAAAGTCCTGGTGCTGGCAATAATGGCTTTTATGCCAAGTGTAGCACCCGAGTTCAGTCTGTGAAAGCCGCATGATGGAAGGAGAGAACCTACTCTTCAGATTGTCCTCTGATCTCCATACTCATGCCCTGACACCTGTAAAGTAAATAAACACATATATTTAACTTTTTAAAACAATTAAAGCCTTCATAACACATTCATTTAAAAAAACAAAACAAATTAAAAACCCCCAAAACTATTCATCCGCCATTCATCTCAGAACTGCCAAAACATAGTACCTGGGAGCTGTTACTCTGAATTCGCTATTTATTATTGCCCTAACATTGCATGCATCCATTACTGTCTTAATCACCCTAAATGCGAGGAAAGTCAAATGCATTTGGAATTAATTGCTATCTGTCTTTGCTCCTATTTTTTTTGTATGATTTAGAGATGACCATTACAAGGAGCACACACATTCTCTAAAGCTGTCTGTGCTTTCTAAGTGATAATACAGCTTCATGAGACTTAAGTTCAACTGATAGATTGTCACCATTTAGTTTAGAATATATTTACTATGTCTCGTGAATTAGAGATGGAAATGTGGATGTAGCATAGGGAGAATTCAGGGGTAGATGTGGATAATGTTCTGCTTGACCGCCTTCTCATAGCTCTGACAATAATGAACTCTCCACATAACAGCAGCAATTAATATTGTTAGTTAATTTTCTAAGTTAATTTGCTTATAGCTTTTACTGCTCTAATCAGTATGCTGTCGTTTGCTTTGCAATGCTGAATATCCTGTATTTGTGATATTTGAGTACATGCAAGTGTTGATTAACTGATACTTTGAAGATAAGTAATCATCCTTTCTCATTTCTGTGCAGATGATCATCTGGTTGGAGAAGATGTTAGATAAAATTATTAGCATTTTCATCATATTCTTGCTAGTAATAGGAACCCTTCTTTTAGCCCTTCTCCTGACTGCAAAGGTAAAGTACAGCCACTGGTTATCTTGTTATAACAAAGGCCTTGTTGCTAGAGTTGCATATGCTGAAGCTAGCAGAAGCAAATGGAAAATGTTATTTGGCTTATCAGAAGTACCTCTACCCATTTTATACATAAATCGTTTTGCTGTGAGTCTGCCTAGTATGTTTTCTCTTTAAATTGCTTTTGCACACATTTTATTTTGTCATCAAGTCTTCAGGAGAAAATGCAGTTAAAAGAAATCCCCAAAATAATCCTCCTCCATCCCCCAAGCTGGCCTCATGACTCCTAAGCTAGTAGCACAGTGCTCCCCCTTCCTCATCTCCTGGGGTCCGGAGGCCTTCCGCTGGCAGTGCAGGTGCTGGCCTGCCAACCCCTGCCGCGGGCTTCTGAGAACCTCCATGTGCAGGTGTGCTGGTGCGCCTACCTTCAGAATCTCTGCATTAGCCCCTTCCCTCTTGCCCCTGGCCTTCCCATGGAGTACTTAAGTCTGGTGCAGTTCCTTGTTGCCTGGACTTTTGCTGTCTGTTGTGACATGCTGTCCTCTGGCCATGGCATATGTGGCTATTGTTGTCCTTAAGTCAGACCCATAGGAGACCCTCAGAAGATTGTGACCACTAAACTTCCCTCAGAAGAGAGAGATCTCACTAGAACACATGGCAGCTCACATAGGCTCTTTTTTTTTTTTGGTTTTCAGATTCTTCCACCTTAAGTCTTGTTTCTAGTTCAATGTCATGGAGAAGGGCACTCCCCAAAGCACGGCCACATTCTCTCTTCACAGTGGTGTGCTTGCTGAGGGTAGTTTTGTACACTCTTTCAGTGCATTTTTATATTTATTTCTCTGAACTCTACTTGACTCCACTTCCAGGTTTTGGTGGTCTGTTTTCAAAAGATTGTGACACATACCCGAAATCATGGGTATCTAACAGTCCTGTAAAGATTCATTAGTAACCGTCACCAGTAGATGATCCAGGGCAGCAATTTGCTGAAGTACTGCATTGTGCTTACCAATAGCCCCCAGCTACCTCCCAGGAGCAAGTACTTCAAAACTTTACTAAACAGTTGGTAAAAGTTTTCTTACTGAGAAGTCCTACCAAGACAAAGCAATGGAGTTCAAACCATAGAACAAGAAGCCTGACAACCAAGACATTTTTCTTTAATGAAACTGTTCTTTCAGAATAAAGGTTAAGGAGCTGCAAGTATGGCTGTGTTGCCTAGCACTTGGCCAGTGTGCTCAAGACACCGGCTTCAGTTCCCACCTGATTCTCTTCCCCTTGAAAAAAGTAAAGGCAGAAGAAAACCATTTCCAGATAAGTTAAAACTGAGAGGATTCATTGGTGGCAGATGTGTACCGTAAGGAAAGTTAAGATAATGTGATAGGGTACACCTATCATCCAGCCAGAGCTACATAGTGAGACCTTATCTTTAAAACAGACACAAACCAAAAAATGACTTTCGGCTGAAGAGAAAGGACTGTGGAGATTCTATCTTGGTTCCACAGGAGGGAATGGGAAAACACATAGGCACATGGAAAAGTTACATACTTTTCTCTGTGTTCTAACCTAATATAATTAACTATATATAATAGGAACACTTACCAAGTATTGTCCAGGAGAGGGAAAAGGTAAAATAACCTAAACAAAAATAGTTACAACCAGCAAGAACAACATCAAACAAGAGACACATACTGAAATCCAGAGATGTCCAGAACATAGGTAAATGGCATGTTACAGAGATTACTCCCAACATTCTTAGCTAAGATATGACAGGACCATAACTGTAACTATCTAGTCTTCAACCCCATCAAAGACCTGAGAAGGAACATAATAATACCCGAGAAAACAGAAAATGCAGGAACTTTCTTATTTAGACAAAAGGGGGAGATGTAGTGGATAGCTGTTCTGTCTGTGACTTTGAAGCATCGCCCCTAGAGACGTAGCAGGTAACTGCTGTATCTACCTATGACCTTGAAGTACTTGCCCCTGGGGCGTGGCTCAGGGCTACCCTTAAGAACAGAGACACAGTAGACTCTCACTTCTCTCCCTTGTGGGCTTGGATGCAATACTGACTTTGGTAGCCATTCCAGAACCTGTGACAATTCTGTTTTGTACAGTGAGTTGTTCTCCCCTAATAAATTCCTTTGCCCTTTAAGTGGACTCCGTGAATTTCTCGCTTTATCACAGCTATCCACTACATGTCTTAGTCATTGTTCTATTGCTGAGAAGATACAACATGGTAAAGGCAACTCGTACAAAGGAAAGCATTTAATTGGAAGCTTGATTACAGTTTTAGACTTAGTCCATTATCATGATGGTAGGGAGCATGGCAGCGTGCAGGCAGACATAGTGCTGGAGCAGTAGCTTAGAGCTACAGCCTGATCCACAGGTAGCAGGAAGAGAGCCCAAGTCTGGTTTGGGTTTTTGAGACTTTAAAGCCCACCCCCAGTGACACACTTCCTCTAACAAGGCCACACCCCTAACCCTTCTAATCCTTTCCAACTAGTGCCACTCCCTGATGACTGAGTATTCAAACATATGAGCCTATGGGGCCATTCTTACTCAAACCACCACAAAAAGGCAAATTCAGTTTCAGTTCCCAATGGCTTTTCTGCAAGCAGAACTACACAGAAGCATGCTGGTGATTTATTTGCCTGTGTGTCTTACCCTGCACAGTCACTGTATTAGCTCACAGTTTTGTCATTGCATATGAAGGTGTATAAGCACACATGTAATCTGTGCTGATGTATATACGTGTGGACTAGATGTTTGTGTCCATGAGTTAAGTATTTAGATTTTTTTAAGGCAGATTGTTAAGCTTCTTGAAGGCATGGAAGGTATTTCTTTTAGTGTATATCATAGACATTACTATAACAACTTGTAAGTGCCCACTTCTAAATTAATAAAAACCAAGATATATAATTATTTAATCTCATAAGAGTAGAAAAAGACATTTTATATTAGGTATATTACTTACTGTTTTTTTTTTCTCTTTTTACCTATGTTACAGGTACATCAAGAAAGTGTACACATGATTGAAGTCACAAGTAGTCTGATTAATGAAACTCTAGCAAATCACCCAGAGTGGGCAAAGTAAGAATACTATTTTGAAAAAGGATACACTTGGGTGACCTAGTTTCAGCATCTGTGTGCCTGGAACAGTGTTCACTGATGCAGCTACATTGGAAGAGAAGAGATACGGTTTGCTAAAGCTTTGATTATCTAGAATAATGTAAGGAGTAAATGCTTGAGATTAGGGGCAGTTTCTGATATTACTCTGAAGGTCAGACTGACCTAGCACTCAGATACTCTTGCCTCATACTCCCAAATAACGAGAATGCAGACACATGTCCCTATGCCTGGGTCTACCTTTTAATTAATTGACATTTTCCGTTATTTTTTTTTTCTCCTTATAAAAGAACATTTTTCTAGACATCGTGACTTTTGTGGCTATTGACAGCAATCAGCTTCTTGGTATGATCACCTTATATGTACACATCCATGAAGCTGCTAGGAATTGAGGCTGTTGGCTGTAATAGTGTTCTGACTTTTTCATGTGCCAGCTTGGACCTCAGGAAAATAAACACAGGTATTTTTGCTTTGGCCTTTCAGTGTGAATCATGGATAACTGAAGCCAGAACTATTAAATTTGTGAATGTCACTCTCTAGTATGTAACATGGATGGACAGTCTGGAGAATATACAAAATACTCATGGTAGTATTTTGTATATTTTATGGAAATACCTTTGGAAGGCATTAGATATATGAAAAGGCTTCTTGGTTAAGGTGTATTGTGCAGCCTGCTTAGCTGTAAGGGCATAGAGAGGCCTCTTCCTGTAAAACAAGTGAAACCTAAAGACTGCAGTTCTTAGCATGGCTGGAGAGACGCCATATCAAAAGATCAGTGGCTAAAGATGGAAAATAATTCGTTCACCCTCTTATTTCTGGATTCTTCTTAGTTCTGCACTTCCTTAGACCTGTGGGTCTCAGATAGACTCCTGCGGGGCTTCTTAGGGTACACATTTCTCTTTCAGTAGGTCTGGGATTGGGCTCAAGCATTTCCATCTCTTAACAGGCTCCCAAGCAGGTTGAGTGCTGCTTTATAAAGAAAACATTTAATTGGGGTGTCTTCCTTACAGTTTCAGAGGTTTAGCCCAATATTATCATGACAGGGAGCAAGGTGGCATGTGGGCAGGCAGATGTGGTGCTGGAGCTGAAAGTGTTACATCCTACAGGCAATGGGAAGTTAACTGACTGTTACTCTGAGGGTAGCTTGAACAAAAGAGATGCCCCAAAGTCCACCCCCACAGTGACACACTTCCTCAGCAATGCCACATCTCCTAGTAACGGCACTTCCTTTGTTGGACATTTTCTTTTCTTTTTTCTTTTCTTTCTTTATTTTTGTAAGATTTATTTATTATGTATACAGTGTTCTGTAGGCCAGAGGAGGGCACCAGATCTCATCATGGATGATTGTGAGCCACCATATAGTTGCTGGGAATTGAACTCAGGACCTCTGGAAGAACAGCCAGTGTTCTTAACTGCTAAGCCATCTCTCCATCCCAGACATTTTCTTTCAATCTACCATATTCCACTCCCTGGCCCCAAAGGCTTATAGCCACATCATAATGCAAAAAACAAAACAAAACAAAACAAAAAAACCAAAAACCCAAAAAATCATTCAGTCTAACTTCAAAAGGCCCCATAATATATAATAGCCTCAAACTTGTTTCAAAGTCCAGAGTCTCTTCTGAGACACATGTCAATGTCTTAACTGTAATCTTTTTATAAAAATCAAAATTAAAAAGCAGATTACATGTTTCCAACGTATAATGACACCGGATATACATTACCATTCCAAAATGCAGGGAAAGGAGCATAGTGAGGAAATACTGGATAAAAGCAAGACCAAAAACCAGCTGGGTAAACTCCACACACTGCAGCTCCATGCCTGATGTCAAAATTTTCTTCAGATTTCCAACTCCATTCAGCTCTGTTGACTGCAACATCTTTCTCTTGGGCTGGTTCTACTCCCTGTTAGCAGCTCTCCTCAGCAGGTATCCCACAAGTCTGGCATCTCTAACATCTTGGGTTCTTATCCAAGGCTTCAACTTCACAGCTTCACTTAATGGTCTCTCTACTAGACCTCCATTCAGGGACACTCCTGACACATGCCTGGCCTCAGTAGCTTTATTCCCATAACTCCTTTCTTTTATTCTTTTTTTTTTTTTTTTTTTTTTGTTTTTCGAGACAGGGTTTCTCTGTGTAGCTTTGCGCCTTTCCTGGAACTCACTTGGTAGCCCAGGCTGGCCTCGAACTCACAGAGATCCGCCTGCCTCTGCCTCCCGAGTGCTGGGATTAAAGGCGTGCGCCACCACCGCCCGGCCCTTTCTTTTATTCTTAACTCTAAATTCATAACCACATAGCCAAAGCTGCCAAGTTCTGCTGCTTGCTGGGGCTGGAACATGGCTCCCTTGTTTAATTACATCACCAGCTTTCTGTTTGCCTTCACTGCCTAAGCTTGGCTGTCCTTGAACTTGCTATTTAGACCAGGCTGGCCTCAAATCAGAGATTAAAGGTGTTCCCCACCACACCCAGCTCTAAACTTCCCTTTAGTTCCTTTTCTGTGTTGGAAATTTAGATAGGGTGGGATCTTGCCCTGAGGTCACCACTCCCTTTATTCTATTTCTTAATCCATTTATCTCTTTGAACTAGAATTTAGTTCTATTCTAATTCCTGGTGTTCTTCTCATAATTTTCATTTTGTAATTTACCCTGCTCATCTTGCTCCTTTTCATTTATAAACCTTCATTAGCATTACCACTAATATCTGCACGACAGAGTCTATACTAGGCTGTTTTGAGATTTCTTCTGCCAATGGATCCATTTAATCCGAAACACTTCACTTTAGCCCCAGCAGACTCTTGGGACAAGGGCGAGAGGCAACCACCTTCACAAAATTATCAGAACGGTCTCTAGGAAACATCCTAAAATTCTTTTCCTCTGAAACTTCTTGAGTGAGCCCCTGACAGTTCAAATAACTCTTAGTACCTCTGTCTTCTGTGTTCCTACTAGTATGGCCCATTAAGCAGTGCTTAAAGCATTCCACTGCTTTCATAACTCAAAGTACCAAAGTCCAAATTCCTCCAAATACACACATGGTCAGGTCTTACCACAGCAGTACCCCAGCCCCTTGGACCAACCTCTGTCTTAGTTAGGGTTTTCTGTTACTGTGAAAAGACACTATGACCATGGCAACTCTTATAAAGAAAACATTTAATTGGGGTGCTTTGCTTATAGCTTCAGAGATTCAGTCCATTATCATCACGACAGGGAGCATGATGGCGTGTAGGCAGATGTGGTGCTGGAGCTGAGACTGCTGCATCTTGTCTTGTAGGCAACAGGAAGTCAACTGACTGTCACACTGAGGGAAGCTTGAGCAAAAGAGACCCCAAAGCCCTCTCCCACAGTGACACACTTCCTCCAACAAGGCTATGCCTCCTAATAGTGCCATTCCCTTTGTTGGCCATTTTCTTTCAAACCACTGCAGCAGGTGACCTAGGATATATGTAGACAGAACAGAATGAAAAGGAGGCTGGTGGGGTTTGGGAGTGTGTGTGGGGGGTGGGAAAGTAGATCTAGATCCTATGGAGAGATGGAAGGGAGATCCTGAGAGTTAGGATCAGGATCATCAGGCCTGGGTATCAGATGTTCTCTGTGTTAATGATTGATCAATAATTTGTTATTGATAGCTTTAGTTCAAAGCACTGTTAGAAGAATATACTCTTTCTGTCTTTTCTATCAGTTGGCTTCCTGAGGCTCAGGTGGTCCAAAGAGCCCTCAATTCTGCAGCTAACAATGTGTATCAGTATGGACGGGAGTGGATAACCCACAAGGTAAGGAGTGAACGTTTCTCGTGCCTTTCTGTGTGCAGGATTTTTATAGGAGCAACTTCTTCCTTTGATAGAGGATGTGTAAAGATGCTGTTCGGAGCAATTTCCATTTGGGAGATACATTTACATCTATAGATGGACACGTACCATAAAGTGGAATCAGATTCTCAGGATATCACACTGAAGAGTGCTCATGGCCTGAGCAGTCTTGAGAAGTTGACTGTTTACTTTCTTTCAAGATTATAGATCTGATTTACTCATGCTTTAGGATGGGACGGCCAAAGGTGGCTTTGTGGAGGAAAAAGAAGTCATGCGAACATGTTGAATCCTGTGTCTGCTGCTCACTGGGCTGGGCAGTTTGCAGTTTCATTTAACATTCTAAGCTTCCTGTAGTACTTTGAACTAGTTTACTTGCCTTCCAGATGAGAAAACAGGCTGGGCAGGCCCAGCAGATCCCGATGGCCACCTGGTGTATTTGCTCCACAATGGTGACTGACTCTAAATCCCTGTTTCTTTCTGATGTAGCTTTCTGTCAGTGTGTGTCTGGCCGGAACTAGAGTAAGTGCTTTCAGGTGGTACTTGAGATAAACCCAGCAGGAATGGCCGGTCAAGGAAGAGTGTATTTAAGAAAGCTATTTGTGGAGTGGAGATACGGAGGCATGAGTGTGCTTGTGCTTGAGATGAACTTGAGTAAAGGCACAGAGCCTGGTGAAGGGAAAGATTGGTAGAGGAAAAGACACAGTTGTTGGACTTAAGGAAGAGCTTTCTCAGTATGGATTTAGGGTATGCCCCCCTCCTACTATTGCCCAGAGAATACAATTAATTTCAGCCTAATATACCAAAGTAGTTAGGATCATACAAGGATTGACAAGATTGAAGGCACTGGAATTTATGCCCCTCACATTGCATGAGCAATTAATTTCTTGTTTAAAATTCAAAAATAGAGTGTTGGAGAGGTGGCTTGAAAGTGGTTAAGAGCACTTGCTGCTCATGCAGAGGACCCGAGTTAGGTTCCCAGCACTTGGATGCTGGCTTACAACCTTCTGTAAGTCCAGTTCTGGAAGATTTGGCATCCTCTTCTGACCTCTGCAAGCACCAGGCATGTACTTGGTGCACATATATACATGTAAGTAAACACACTCATAAAATAAAAATAAATCTTAAAAAATAATAAAATTCAAAGCAGTATATTCCAGTTATGAAAAATATGCTCTATATATATGCATTCCTATCTGCTAATCAAAGATGGAATTATTGAAAGTTGAAAGTTTGTCAGTTGGTTCTGTTGTATCTGCCCAAGACAGTATGATTAGTTAGCACATGATAATATTGAAAAAAATTGATGAACAAGCAAGATAGATATGTATATATCTATCATAGGAGAAAGAGTCAGCTCTTGGAAAGAGCTCGCAGCTTTTTATACATGTGTTATTTTGCTAAAAATATAGCATTTTATTCTGATTTATATATTTGGGAGAAGTTTTTATTCTGACATTCTTGCCTTTTAGGTAAGAAGATAAAAAATTTTGGGTAAATTACATCTTAGATTAAAACTAAATTTTAGACTACTTACAGAAAAGAAATAGCTATGTATCCTCTTGTTCAAGAGTCTAAAAGTGAAGGCACTTGAGGACATTGATATCAGAAGTTATGAAATATTTGTGGTCCTGACTTAGAAGACAGAGGAATAGTATATAATAGCCATCAAATGTCCAGCAACTGGTAGATAATCAACTTAATATGATAAATTTATTCCATGTATGTGTCATATGTGATTGTATGAGTATTTGTGCATGCTTGTGTGAGGGTTGTGTGTGTGTGTGTGTGTGTGTGTGTGTGTGTGAGAGAGAGAGAGAGAGAAGAGAGGAGAGAGACAAACAGATAGACAGACACAGAGTCAGACAGTGACAGAGACGGAACAGCTTTTGAGTTTTAGCCCTTGCCTTTAAGGTGGTAAGTTTGATGAAGAAATGAAATACTGATGAATGTTACAACATGTATTAACATGAAAATATAATGCTAAGGAAAAGATACCTTAGCTGTGCAAGCCTGATGACCCGAGTTTGAGTCCCAGAACCCACACGGTGGAAGAAGAAAACCAGTTCCATAGGGTTGTCCTCCAATGTCCACATGTGTGCATGGCATCCCTCTCAACATACATGATAGTAATAATAATAAATAAAGGATCAGCCATAAAATACATGCATATGATTCCACTAACATGAAATGTCTTCAGTGGCAAATCTGTAAACAGAAAATAGAGTAGTTGGTCCCAGAAACAGGTGAATCTGAGGGGGAATGGGAGTGATTACTTAATGGGTGATAAAAATTAACTGTACAGGCTAAGTAACTATAAATGTACATAAACCATTGACTTGTCTACTAAGATGAGTGATTTGTAAGGTGTGAATCTTGCCTCAATGCAGTTGTTAAAAATACCATTGAACTACAGGTGTAACTTTAATAAGCCTTACCCTTGAACAGCTAAGAATCATAAGAAGTGGGGTTCAAGAGCTAGTCTAGAAAGGTTGAAGCTAGGAAAGCTGCCATGCCCAGAAAGAGAGAAGGGTAATTTTTTATTTAGGTAAAAGCAGAGGCAACTGAAGGTTCCAGCTTCTCCAGCCTGTCTTGTCAGGCTTGTCTCCTGTGTCCTAGTCTGTGTTCCCTGTGGGTCTTCTGTTGGCTGCCGTCACCATCCTTGCGTGAGCTATCCTTCCTGTTTGGTGTATCCCTTTCCAAATTTCCAGCTGGAGATGCTCTACCTGGACAGCAGAAGAATCAGCGCTGTTTCCTCTGTCCTTCTGCCTTGACCCTAAGAGAAGGAAGTACCGGTCTGGACCCAGTTCAGGCCAGTGGGTGGGGAGCAGGGAGCCAGAGTTAACAGCCTCCTGGAGTCTTAACACTGGTAGAGGAGATGAGTATCAAGCATATAAACAAACACAAATCATAGGTGCTTAGCCTGGCGTGGTGGTGCACACCTTTAATCCCAGCAAAGCACATCTCTTAGCTTGAAGCCAGCCTGGTTGGAGAGGAAGTTCAGGATAGCCAGGGCTACACAGAGAAACCCTGTCTCAAAAAACAAAACAGTTTTTTTTTTTTTTTTTTTTTAAAGTACTCAAACGAGTGTGTGGTAAAGGGCGATGCTTTAGTTAAATGTCCAGAGAGTTCTGTGAGGCAGCAGCATTTCTGTTAAGACACTAATGAGCAAGCAGTTGGTGAAGGTCTGGAGAAAGACGCGTCGACTGTGAGTAGATTCCGTTCACAGGCTCTTGAGTGGTAGCCAGTGGTTGAAGGGTGAGGAGGGCCAGTGTGAAGAGTGGCTGCAACAGAGAGTGACCCGGTGAGCCAAAGAGGACTCTGAAAGATGCTCGGGCTTTAGTGGGTCTGCTGATAGTGCTAAGGACATTAGACTCTAGTCTTCCTGTGTCTCCCAGAGTGTTTTGTAACATAGTAGGGCAGTGTTCTAGGTCTCTTGGTGATGTTCTGCTGGGTTGACAGCACCATGGGTTTCTAGAGGGTTGTACAACATGGTGTGCAATTATGCAATATTATTTTTTACTCATGGTGTTTTAGAATCATTCATTGTTATACTGGAAGTTAGGGTTCCAAGCAAGATGGCAGCATAAAGTAGTGCTTCATTGCACTGAGGCCACTCTGTGGACAATGTCTCCCCGAGACCGTCTAACCACTTTAGGCCTTTTCTGGTCAGGGGGTTCTCAGAAGTTGTCATGGAGAATTAGGAGGAGGCCTGTGAGTATCTGACAGTCATGTCCTAAGAGACAGAAGTAACTAAAGGGAACATGTATGTTTGTGCTCAGCATCCTCTGTAAGGTGTTCTTTGTGTGTATTGGTCACACAGGCTACACTTGAGAAAGCTTCTCATTTTGTGAGACAGTCTCATTGTATAGAGCAGTCTGGCTTGAAACTTACAGTCCTCCTGTCTCAGCCTCCCTAAGACTGGGCTTGTTGGATTGCATTTCCATGTCCTGTATTAGGCAATTTCAGTATTGGCTCTGCACACCTAGATAAAACTGTCTTCTCTTCCTAGACTGACAGAAGTACCTTTCTTTTGAGTTGCTGGTCTAAGCCTAGGAAATCATGAAGGTATTCTGTCATTGAGCTGTACCCCAGACCTACAAAGTCATTTTCTCTTTACTCTTGGGTGCTTGCAAAGATCACACAATGTAGGTAAAAACCACTTAAAATTACAAAATTCTTTTCAGAGATAGGTGGCTTTTATATTTATTATGAGTAATTTGTGTCTGATTTTACTCATTAAAATGAGTAAGTCATTTTAATAAAAGGTTTGATATCTGCACCAGATATGGATGATAACTGGTTCAAGTATTTATAAGACTGACATTAGGTGGGCAACTGAGTGCCTAAGTGCATATTATAAGCCAGTTTGGAGAATCAGCTCTCTCATTAAAGGAACAAAGAACAGATAATTGGTTCCCATTTAATGCTTGCTAAATTATCTTTAAGGTTTTCAGTTAATTCATAATGCCTTGGGAAAATTGATTTCCATATAGTGCTCAAAAGTATTACTTATACAACCCCTTAGAAAGTTGTTGGGCAGTGCACAGTCAGCACCATTATTTTCCTTGAGTCCTGTTCATTTATTTTGCAATTGGTGATGTGAAGAATAAACTCTGTGTAAAGACGGTGACTGCCTTAAAAATTGGGACTATGTGTATATCCATCTGTGAGTGGTGATTAAGTAGCAGTGCATTTAATAAATGAATAAGAGCCATTGAATTTAGGAAGTTTACAAACACTAAAGATTAGACGCTTATGATTCAAAACATACACAGATTTTAAATTTTATCTCTGTAAATGGAGAGGAAGTTGCTGAGGAAATGGGAAAAATGAAGTTGTTTTAAGAAAATAAAACTACAAACTAATTCTTGTCTTTTAAAAGTGTGTTTTTGGGCTGGGGAGATGGTTCAGTTTGTCAGGTGTTTGCAGTGCGAACGTGGGGACCTGAGTTTGCTCTCCAGCACCCACGTAAAGAAATCCTGACCTGCATCTAATCCCTGTGCTCTGGAGGCAGAAGCAGGTGGACCTCTAGACTACAAATAAGAGAGACCTCGTCTCAAAAAAAAAAGAAAAGAAAAAAAGAAAAAGCCAGTGTGCACATGTGTGGCAGTGAGCTCTTGTAATCCCAGTGCTGGGAGGTAGAGGCAGGAGGCTCTCTGGGCCTTACTGACAAGCCAGTCTGGTTTAATCTGGTGAGCTCCAGGTTTAGTAAAACTCCCAAAAAAGAAAAGTGGAGAGTGACTGACGGGGACACCAGGTGTTCACCTTTGGTTTCTACACTCATGTGCATGTATGTCCTTGTGCCTGCCCACACACATAAGACAAAAATAAAATTGTCTTAAATTTTTTTTTTTTGCCTGTGCTAGGGATTGAACCAAGTGTCCTGCACGTGCTAGGCAAGTGATCTCCCGCTGACCTGTTTCCTCAGATCTTTAAAACTGGCACTAACAAGGAAATAGGATGAGATACTACGAGTGAAAGTTGTGCTGCCCCACGTTGGGTTCCCAGAAGCTGGTCCTGCCAGTCCTGGCCTGTCTCAGCTGGCTCGGAAAGAGTCGTGCTCGCGTGTCAGCTCCTCAGTTCTACTTAAGAGTCTTATGGTAACCCTTGTAATAGAGAGGAGTAATGCAAGACTTGAACGTAGTAGATGAGCACTAGGCTTGCCAGGAAAGGGCTTTCCTCTGTGTGGGAGAGGTCAAATAGGTCATTAACTATGTTTTCATTTACATTGTTCTCGTGTGCCCTGAGACCTAAGAAGAGAAGTGAGAGGATGAGGAAGAAAATGGGGAATTTACTGGAACGTGGAAGCATCTTTTAAGAAAATAACATACTGTGACTAGAGATTTTTAAGTACTTAAAGATTTTAATTTGATTTGGGACAAATAAACACTGAGCATGTATTAATCATACTAAATTGTCATGTAAATTATTAATCAGATTATACTTGTATTTTCTTCTTAGCTTCACAAAATTCTAGGAGATAAAGTGAACAATACAGCTGTGATTGAGAAGCAAGTTCTGGAGCTGTGGGACAGACTCTATCACTCTTGGTTTGTAAAGGTGAGTTCTTGTAGCTAAGAGTTTCCATAGTAAATGAGAACACGGTTTTGCTTCATAGACTACTTGATTACTTAACTTTCCAGGAGCAAGAACTCAAGCCTTTGTCAGCTTCCATTGGTGGTTAGTTAGTCTCTGTTAGTCTCTCTGGGGATCAGTGTTCCATCCTTTGTGCGTATCATAGCACCTCTTACGCTGCAGCAGCTTGGTACAGTACAGATGTAATGCAAGCCACATTTATTTATTTATTTATTTATTTATGGTGATGGAGATTGAACCCAGGTCTCACGTAAGCACAAGATCTGCCAGTGAGCTATACTCCACGATTCTGCAAGCCACATATGTGATACTCATAGATTAATTTTAATATATTTTATTTAATTCAGTGTTCCCACTCCCATTTCAGTATATACCTAATAAAAACAAATTTGATATTTTATATGCCTAAAACAACTAAGTCTTTGAACTCTATGGTGTGCATTTTGCACCAGCAGCACAGCTCATTTAGTGCAAGCCACATTTTGAGTCTTTGGTAGCCACGTGTGGCTAGTGGCTCCTGTTAGGGGCAGGTAAATTCTAGACATTGAAAACCTTTCTCTTTGAGGAGACAGAAATGTTCAGAGACTTTTTTGTTTCCAGTCAGCTTTGTGTATTGCTTATATCTACGTAGTTTATGGTAGAACAAGTGCAGCTACCACTGAGCATAACTGATTTGGAAAGCAGTGGGTCTGCTGAGCTAGTGCTGTGTATACTAGGGTTAGTGGGCTGTGAGGGCCGTGTTCTATGAACAGTGGGGCAGGACTCCTGTTTTTTCCCAGGAAGAGCATGCAAGAGGAGGGTGGCTGAGTTCCAGTTTCTTGCTTAGTGACATGTGTCCCAGTGTGTAGTCTTGCCCTGAGATGAGTTGAGGGAATGAGACTGCCTTTGTTGGTAAAGATTTGAGAGCTAAAGCTAATAGTGGTGTATGAAATAACGAATTTTCTCTGATTCTCTCTGAGAGCTAAGCAATTAGGACGATTTTGCTAGTTTCTGGTGTTTACTCTGGAGCTTCCTACCAGGTAGCTTTTCTTGCCCTCACCCTGTTTGAGCCCCATTCTTGTTGGAGGGCTGGATTCTGGAGTGCCGGTCTGTGATGTGTTCTCTTCCCTACTCACAGTGTCGCAGACTGAGAAAGCATGCCACACTCCAAGGTGGAGCTTGCTTCTGAAGTTAACCTCATTTTGTTTCTTCATTTCCCTTTCAAATTCAGTGTTTCGTGCCCATGTAGATTTCTTTCAGACAGACAGACAAAGTTGACACCCCGCACCATGTGTTTGGTTCTTTGAAATGGTCTCTTCTCTCTCTGCTCTTACCTTGTGTAGATGGTTGAGAAAGGAGAAAGAGGCAAAGGTAGGAAACCAAGGAAAGGTGGAGGAGCTGAGGGAAATGAAGATGTATGTGAACTCTTTGGGTGCGGTGCACACGGATGAGTATTGTGAGTTCAAAACTAGGAGGGAAGCAGGTGTATCATGCTAGACTCAGTACCTAGAATGTAAATACAGAAGTACTGGACTCCCAGTCTTTATGTGGAGCCTTTACTTGATATCTAAATTTGTAAGGATTTTCATAAGTGAGTACTTACTGAAGTATGTATAAGCAGGTATAAAACAAAAAAGACATTTATCTTTTGGATGCATTAAGGTGGCTATTTCACATGTCACTGACTTTGTTCCATAGAATGTGACACACTCTGGAAGGCACAAAGGGCACAAGATGCATGTGAGTCGTCAGAACAGCTGGCTGGGAGATATTCTGGATTGGCAAGATATTGCCTCCTTCGTTCATGAGAACATTGAAACGTTTCTTTCGGTAAGACATAGTAGTTATTGTTGCACTGAACGTGGGAATAAAAACAGAAGTTGTAATTCTAGCTTTTCTTGTCTTCTGAAGAGACATCAGTCTCTTCAGCTACTCTGTTTTGGATACTGTGAAATGTGCAGGCTCTGAGAACTTTAAACTAGAAAGCTATCTGGAAGCTGCAGTCCTCAGGTGTGGTAAGAACACCTGAGAGAAGCTGAATCCTGATGCACATGAGCAAGCCTGTGGGCTGGGGGTCTTAGATGGGTGTCCTCATCCCTCAAGGTCACCAGAATGTCCTCAGCTGGACCATTTAGAGATAGACCTTTTTTTTTTTTTTTTTTTTTTTTCTTTTTCTGGTTGATAAAACCATTGACAACTGGAAATAGGGTCCAGTTCCATTAGAGGGACTTACTATGTCTTAGGATTTCTATTGCTGTGAAGAGGCATCATGACCACAGTAATTCTTATAAATGAAAACAATTAATTGGGGCTGGCTTACCGTTCATAAATTTAGTCCATTATCATCACGGCGGGAAGCATAGTAGTGTGCAGGCAGACATGGTGCTGGAGAAGGAGTTGGGAGTTCTACATCTTGATCCACAGGCAGAGAATGAAGACTGTGTCACACTGGGCATAGCTGGAGCATATAAGACCCCAGAGCTCACTTCTACAGTGATGCACTTCTTTCAACAAGGCCATACCTCCTCCACCAAAGCCACACCTCCTAATAGTGGCACTCGCTCTGAGCCAAGTATTCAAGCACATGAGCCTCTGGTTCCTTTTCAGACCACCACAGACTGCAAAGGCTTCCACTGTGGCTTCCCCAGCTCCTGCCGTGCTCCATCCACCTTGTACCCTCCCGCCACCGCTGGGCGTTAATGACCTCCCTTCATTTTGTCAAGTGTCTTAGCCTGGGACTTCTCACAGAGAAGACTTTTCTTGTGAATGTATGTGTGACGTTCATCGAATTACAATGCGGTCCTAGGTGTTAAGGAACTGAAGCCGAGTGAAGCAATCCGTGCGCACAGCTGAAAGCAGGGCCCCAGCGTCTCCGCACACTGGGCTCAGGAAGAGCTGTCTGCTGCAGGCAGTCTTCTCTGCTATTTTCCTCTGCGTTGCTAAAGTGATGTTTATGTTGCTCTTTCTTGTTTTGCTATTTTAGATATTATCTTTTGGCTTCCAAATATGGAAGATGAAGGTAAAGATGTGACTCTCCCCCAAGCCTACAGAGCTTTCTGCCACTTCTCTCGGGTGTCTCACGGCTCCCTCGGCCACCTCCCTGTACTCACCCGCTTCCTTTCCTCTCACTCACCTGAGGTGCTTCACAATCTGGACTGAAATCTCAAAAATGATGTCTTTCTTGTTTATAGTTTAATTAATAACTTACTTAATTACGGAGTGGGGACTTATGTTCCCAGGCCGACCCTGAACTCATGGCTTCAAGCAAACCTCCTGCCTTAGTCTCCAAGTTCTTCAAATTACAGGCACTTGACAGTATACCCAACTGTTCTGTTTTTGATAAGCCCTTCCCTCTGCTTTTACTAGCCCAGTGGTTCTCAAAGGTTTTAGTACTGGACTTCAAAGTGCATATTTTTGTATTCATTGAATAATTTTTCATTATAACATGAAAAACATACTTTAGTGTGCTAAAATGCTATTTTCTGGGGCTGAGGAAACAGCTTAGTTGGAAACGTGCTGCACCAGCATGAGGACCTGAAATCCGATCTTCAGTACCCATGTCAAGTCGGGGGTGGAGGCACACTCCTTTAACCTCAGTGCTGGGGCCGTGGAGTGGGATGCCAAGACAGGCAGATCCTGGGGCTCACAGCCTGTCTGCGGAATCATGCACTGCTGGTGCAATAAGAGACCCCGTCTCCAAACGGTGGAGTAGAGAGTAAGGAGGACACCTGATGTCAGCCACTGGCCTCCGTTCTCTTGCGTACACAAGCACATGCATTACACACATGTATGTGCACAAACACACAATACTGTTTTCTAAGATGGAAAAAATACTGGGGAGTTATCTCTGTAGAAAACTGTCTGGAGGAGAGTTAATTAAGCCCTCTTAATTTGCACAGACCAATTTGATGTCTGGATTTCATCTTTGCTCTATATTCAGTCTATTGGGATTTGTTAATTTTGACCAGTGCATGGGAAGAACATCCTTTCTCACACAGTAGGGCAGAAGGAAGCTCACCAGTGAGACCGGGAGCTGAGCACCCCACTCAAGAGCTTATCCAGATAGGTGAGAAAAGGAAGCTTTTCCAGCTTGTAGTTGTGGGTGGTCTTTGTTACTATCCAGAACTCAGCAGGTGCTGTTTTCACAAGACCTGTGGATTGTGAGGTGTGAAGCTGTTAGTAAGCTTTTTATATTCTGGTTTCTAAGAAGCCATTGGCCAATGTTGATTAAAGAGGTTTCTTTTACCTTTGTATGCTTTGGTAATATACATTGTTTATTCAGGATATTTATTTGTTCATATCTGTATACCTTCAAAATACTGAGAGCTTATTGAACAGTATTATAAATCACCTTCTTAAGAGATCACCACCTCTCTCTTGAGAACAAAAGAACTTAACACCACCTATTCAAATTTCTAAAACCATGATTTTTTTTTTTTTTTAAAGGGGGAGTTCAGATTGTATTCAGCGAAAGCTCTCAGTGTCGTACCTTAAAGTGTCACTGCACTTTTGAAGAAGTGTCTGCCGGGAGCGAGGCTGTTGTGTGTCTTTTCTAGACTTGATGTCCCCACTTACTCACAGCCGTGCCTTTCCTCTGAGCTGAGCGTTTCCGCAGAGTCCATCTCTTCTGTCACTTTTTACTAGGTTGCGGGGACCCAGACTGGGTTATGCACTTTATCCACTGAGCCATCTCCTGGTTTATGACAAGTATCATGCTAGATGTTTTATCAATATTTTCTAATTTACTCTCAAGTTCCTGGGGAACTGATGAAATGGCTCTTGTTTTAGTAACAGACTCAGCGATAGTAAAGCAGTTCACATTTATATTCAGTTTTTCTTTTCTTGTATAGCATAGTGTGATCTTCCAGAACATGTTTTGTCCCCAGGAAAGCTGTGGATCTCTTTTCATACTTTTCTGTCTTTTTTTTATCCTTTGCTTTACTTGTTTTTTGAGGCATGGTCTCCTTTGTAGCCCTGGCTGGCTTCATGCTCAAAGAGATAGGCCCACCTAGGGTTCCCAAGTGCTAGGATCAAAGATTTGCTCTACACACCCAGTTTTTGTTTTCTTTTTGGATCTTTTGGCAAGTTCCTCAGCTCCCCCTAGGGTATTTCAGAACACATGGAGATTCCCTACATTCAGATTCCTCCTAGGTCATTGTTTTCACCCTTATTTGGTATTTGGGTATATTTTACCCTTTTCAGTCTTTCTGAATGAATGAAGTTTTAAAGATTAATTTATTTTTATTGTATGTGTATGAGTGTTTTCCCTGCATGTATGTTTGCAGTACCTGTGGAAATCAGAAGAGGGCATCAGATCCTTTGGAACTGGAGTTACAGATGGCTGTAAGCTACCATGTGGGTGCTGGGAACCAAACTTGGATCCTCTTTAAGAGCAAACAGTGCTCTTTTTTGTTGTTGTTTTTCTAGACAGGATTTCTCTGTGTAACAGCTTTGGCTGTCCTGGAAATTGCTTGTAGACCAGGCTGACCTAGAACTCGGAGAGATCTGCCTGCTTCTGCCTCCTGAGAGCTGGGATTGAAGGTGTGTGCCACCACTGCCCTGCTTGCAGCCAGTGTGGTCTTAATCGCTGAGCCATTTCTCCATGTCCCAGACCAGCTTTGAAGTTCTTTTGTTTGTTTGTTTGTTTCTTTTTTTCCCCTGGAGCTGAGGACCGAACCCAGGGCCTTACGCTTGCTAGGCAAGTGCTCTACCACTGAGCTAAATCCTCAACCCCTGTCTTAATTTTTTTTTTTTTATTTGAAGTTCTTTATCACTACTTTAGAATATAGCCTTGTGTTAGCTTGTCAACTAAACTAGTGAAAAGAGCTATATTACAGCTTACCTTTATTATTTTTGTGCCCTAAAAGAACAGTGGCAGAGCTGAAATGGTATATTGAATCTCCAGGTGTAGTTCCCTTCCTATAAGGCTAGAGCAGGCAGATGAACCAGAGAAGGTCAGTGAAGCTCATGTAGCCTGTGTGTCTCTGGGCTCCTAGACTGACAGGGAGATAATGCCATCTTTGCAAGAGAGAGATGATATTAGTTAGGGTTTCTATTGCTGTGAAGAGACACCGTGGCCACAACAACTCTCATAAAGGAAACATTTAATTGGGTCTGGCGTACTGTGTCAGAGGTTGACATCATCATGGCAGGACATGTTTTCCTGCAGGCAGATATGGTGCTAGAGAGATAGCCGGGAGTTCTACATCTTGATCCATAGGCAACAGGAAGGGAACTGTGTATCACACTGAGCATAGCTTGCGCAAAGGAGAACCCACACTGGCACACTTCTTCCAACAAGGCCACACCTACTTTAAAAGCCACGCCTCCTAATAGTGCTACTCCCTATGGGGGCCATTTTCTTTCAAACCACCACAGATACTCTCTTATTTTGACCGCTGCATCACGGCAGTATTCTATTTTCCTGCTTCTTGGAGCTGCCTCTTTATGCTTCTTGGGTTCCATAGCAGGTGAGCTAGAAGTACCCGAGAAGCCAAATGAGAGGCCAAGGGTGATTGGATGGCAGTAGACTTGAGGAGGGAGGCAGCAAAGCAGGAGGATGCTGAGGCTCCTTGTTAATTCTAACTGCCTTCTCTGACCAGGTTGCTTAACTGCTTGTCAGTCTCTTCTGGGCTTATACTCCATGGCCAGGGACTTGGTTCTAGGCATCTTTTTGGTTATGTTGCCACTGTTGATTAGATTAATGCCAGTCCTGGCTCATGTTTGCCGTTTTTGAGTTGGGTTGCATTTTTGCCTCTATGAGTCTGTTGCACTTTTCTGAATTTTTTGGGCTTTCTTACTGATCCTGCCTTTAATGATAACCTCCTTTGCAAGCCTGGTGATTAAACTAAAATTCTACTTGGATGATTGAGTTAACATTCCAGAACTGTCCTCTCTGTTGTCTCTAGTTGATCTCCTTTCAAGTCAAAAAGGTTACTGGATTGTTGTTGGAGACTTCCAGTCTACAATTGCTGTATTCAATTAATTTCTTAAGAATTGCAGGAGGGTGTTTTCTATTTCTGTGACTCAGAAACTATGTAAATTTTTTCTGATTAAAAATTCCAGAGTGACTGAGGCCCCTGAAAGGATGCTTGCCAAATTACAAATACAGGCATTTGTCTCTTAGAATCAGTGGCTTTGTTCATTCATTCTTTATCCCACAAGGTCAAACAGTTAATCATGCATATTTTTGTAGGCATAATGAAGTATTTTCAAGATTTTTTTGTAAGGAGTTTTTGTAAATGAAGCCTGCCTGTTGAATTCTCTTATGAAGACTGAGCTGAGGCTTACAAGACATTCTGAGAGCAACAGAATGTCCTTTATAAATGATATATTTGAGGTGGGAAAGGAATGGACAGGCCTTGCATAGACTGCATGCCATAACTCGAGCATGTGACAGGACCAGAGCTGCCGTCTTAGAAAGGCACCAGAGTGAAATGCAGATGTCAGGGTTACTGCCCCGGCTACAGCAGACCTCTGTGATTGAGTTCATATGTCTGTAACGCTGAGATACAGCCTTCCACATTGCTTCCCTTACAGCACTGTTCACAGGAGCATCTAACAATTACAACAGAACATGTCCTCTTTATCATTTTGCCTCCATGTGTTTATCAGGAGGAAGAATAGAACAGACATTATATAAGGGGTTTTAGTTGATGAAGGGACAAGAAATGAAAACATGGAGGCATGATGAGACATTGACATCTTTATTTAGTCATATTTTACATCTAATATATGCAAAACCATTTTGATAACTGGCTCTCATGAGTTGGTAGGTAATAGATGAATTAATTAGTCTCAGTCTGTCCCAGGAAAGGCTCTGTCATTCATTGATCCTGTCTGTTCATCTTTTCCATTGTGACTTCAAGTCATTGGAATAATACATTATATTTATAGTTGAATCTGAGTTGGAGATGGTAAAGCTAGAGGATAGACAGCTAATCTGATGAGTGACCTGCACTTATAATCCTCTAAAGTAAATGGAGTCATAGAATGTGTGCTTGCATATTTTTCAGTAGACATACATATTTGTTCTGTCTTTTACAGTTAAAAATTGTAGAATATGTAAAAATTCTGTGTTTTAAAATCAGCATAAGAGAAGTTGGGCATGGTGGTACACACCTTTAATCCCAGCACTCAGGAGGCAGAGGCAGGTGGATTTCTGTGAGTTTGAGGCCAGCCTGGTGTACAAAGCAAATGCTAGGACAGCCAGGGCTGTTACACAGAGAAACCCTATCTTGGAAAACCAAAACAAACAAAAGCCAGCATAATAGAATATAAAACATAATAAAATGTCTCTGAAAGTTGCCTTACTATTTTAAGTGTTATTTGGAGTGGATTCATTGTAACTACTTAGCCAATTTCTTTACTATTGAGCAGAGATGTTTCTGGTTGTTTTTCTACCTTTAAGGTAAGCATCAGTTTTTTACCTTTTCCATCATGGCTAATAAGACAGTGCACTAAAAGCACACTAGATGGCTGTAGCTACTTCCTTCATGAGGATTAGTTCTGAACCCAGCTGTCCCTCTCCATCAGATCTTGGAGTCCCTGTGGATTGTTATGAGCCGGAACGTGAGCCTGCTGTTTACCACGGTTACCACTCTGCTGACCATCCTCTTCTACAGTGGCACTGCCCTTCTCAACTTCGTGCTTTCCCTGGTATGTACACCTAGATAGCACACACTGTATTTCTTTATGCATTGCAGCATTTTTCTGGGCTCTGTATTTGTGCATGTGTTTCTTCTATAGGTTCCCAAATGTGATCTTTTAGGAGATACTGTCCTTTGTTTTGCAGATAATTTTCCTGACCACACTGTTTTATCTGTTAAGTTCCAGTGATGAGTACTACAAGCCAGTGAAGTGGGTGATAAGCCTGACACCACTGTCTCAGCCAGGTCCTTCTTCTAATATTATTGGCCAGTCTGTGGAAGAAGCTATCAGGTAGGGACAAGGCTTATGCTGTTCTCATTCCTTTTGTAAGCTTTCCATGACATCCCAGTTACCTTCCTTGTATTTCATGCACATATTCGGTGTTAAACTAGTGAAGGATGTTGGTGTTTGTAAGACCCTTATCCCACTTGAAGAGGGTCCTAGAAGCAGTGCGCATGTTTTGAGGAAAAGTTCAGGAGTTTGCCACTCTACTCTGCTGCCTGGGATTTACAAAGATATGATGTCTGTCTGCAGATGGGCTTTTCATCAACAGGCCCTGAGGCTGCTTTCCATCATCATGTCCCTTGCTCAGAAACCCCCCCTCCCCTTCATCACACAGTCTTCACCCCCTTCGGACCCTTTTCTATTCTCAGGAGTTCTAGATTGGGATGGATGACCCTGTGTCTTCTCTCTCTTTGTTCCAAGCGGTGCCCTCTGTATGGATAAGATGATTATTAGAAATGCAGTGTTTAGCCGGGCGGTGGTGGCGCATGCCTTTAATCCCAGCACTCGGGAGGCAGAGCCAGGTGGATCTCTGTGAGTTTGAGGCCAGCCTGGGCTACCAAGTGAGTCCCAGGAAAGGCGCAAAGCTACACAGAGAAACCCTGTCTCGAAAACCAAAAAAAAAAAAAAAAGAAAAAGAAATGCAGTGTTTAGTTATCTCCAAGTCTCTGCATTGCATCTGGCCAAAAACTTCTATGAAGCATGCCTCTAGAGTCCTTGTATTACAGGCTGTTTCTAACTGAGATTCTTTCACTTTTACATCCCTTAGGCTCCTTGGTCCTTCTCTTTTCCTGTATTTCTAGTAGGGTTTTGCCATTTGCAGCCTAGGCCTCTTTAGCTCCTTCCTTGCCCTGTGTCTCATTGCCTAGTAAGAGGACACTATTACTTATTTTTGTGGCTACCTAACTACTTAAATAGTTGTGACGCCCATCAGACCCTTCTTTCTACTAAGGCGTATGCAAACAATTATGAAAAATGCAGTTTATTTCATAAATGCTCAGTGATACCATGTTGTTAGCTAAGTGCTCTTAAACTCACTTACATAGTGGAAATTTTGGTATTTCTGTTTCTACATACTTCCAAAAGGTGCCATTGTTTAGAACTTGTCATTCACAGATACTTTGAACTGACCTGCCAATCCTTTCTGAGTCCTTGGCTACCTTTCCACTGTATTCATGTTACAGCTAGGGAGACACTTGCTTTGGTCTTTGGAGACCCTCAGTTATTGTCCAGAAATGTATGTGTACTTTTCTGTGTATTTCCAGACATGATACAAAGTGTATCATGTCTGGAAATGCTGCCCGCTTTTCTTCTTATTCCTAGTTGCAAAGCTTGGAGAAGGTCTTTATCGGTAATTTCCCTCTTTGATCGAATTGGGTATCATTTGGCATTTTTTTTCATCACTAGAAGTCCAGTGCACTGTCTGTTGCGCCACACAGCCACATGTCATTTGGCATTTTGAAAAATTGTTCTTATCACCTGTCTGGTGCCTTTGAATGTCCGTGCAGAGCCATCATATGAAGATTCAACGTTGGGAGTGCATCATCTAATACTGCAGCTTCCAAAGTGACTGTCCTTAGACAGACAGCTTTAGCATCTTCCAAGTCGGTGTGACCTGGCATCCTTACTGGATGAGTAAAATGATGAAAATTCCAACAATAGGCTAGCTTTTGTTTACCCACTTTAGAAAGGTCATTTGCAAATACTCTTCTCTCCAAAGCAAAAAACAAAAGAAAACAAAACAGACCCTGCGCTCTTCCCAGTAGCGTAAAGCCAGTGAAATAGCCTTTTCAGATTTGGGCTGGCACCAGTCCTTCTGTCAGGATGACTGAGGCTGAGCTGTGTGGGAAGACAGGTGCACTGCCCAGGAAGACCTTTTAAAGACCAGCAGCGCTCCAGCCTCCCACAGGAGCCTCCATAGGCACTCTTGTTCTCACAGAAGTAGCCTTCCTCAGATTACAATTGGGGAACGTTCTTAGGCTGCTTTCTCAAACGAGCAGCTTTCTGACTGATATTGAGTTGCTTAATTTTATGCAGGATGATACTTCACTCTCCTTACTGGATCTTGCTTTGTTACCCAGGCTGGCTTTGAACTTGATATCCTCCTCTCTCTCTGTTTCCTGAGTACCATGCCAGTTTCCATCATTTAATACGGGGGAGTAAGGGGAGTTTAGTATCAGCACTGTAGTCCTGTTGGGTCTGAAAGCTAGAAAGTAGGCGGGCTTAAATCTCAGACAGCATTTTTCAGCTGTGGCTAAGATGGGCTTTTGCAGGCTCCAGCCCTGTGTGCTGTTTCTTCACAAGCTTGTAACTGGCTCAACATGTTCAGGCTCTGCTTGGGATCCTCTCAGCCGTCTTCAGGAGGGAAGGTGGCCGGCAGTGAGCCATGTCTAAGAGCCTGAGTAAGAATTTTCATTCTGAAGGATTGTTCAAGCAGGAATATGATTCTTTGTAGTTGAAGATTGCAGTTTATTCTGTAAATGTTTAGTGACACCGATTTTATAAATAGTGATTGCTCATCAGTGTACGGTCAAATGAAAAATCATTAAGTTAATTATATGATCCTTTAATGAGTTACAAGTGGAGTGAGCTGGGGGCTTCATTGCATGATCAGGCGGAAGTGTGTCCCTGGAGCCTTGCCCTCAGCTGTCTGGTTCATTTGTGTTCATTGTGGCCTTGACATTTTGAACCTTATCATTTTAATTCTAAATCCACGTTCTTCCCAATTGAGTACATTCGTCATTGAGTTTCCATTGCATCTCAGGATCTGTGAGTTAGTGGCATGCATCCTGGATCCCCAGCCATTCTCCTCCCTTTGGCAGCATGCTGTCCCCCGAATGTCCACATCACACCCTTCTCCCTGATGCTCCCATTCTGCTTGCTCTGGTGGAGATATTGCACATTACTAAGTTGCATGTTGTCACGGCCTCAATGCAATTTAGTGTGTGTGATATTTTCACGTGAGTGCATGCACACGGGTATAGCTCTTGCTTGCTGGGATTACAGCTTTTTCGTGCTGGAGGGTGGAACTCCTGGTGATGAATTAAATGTGAGAATATACATTGTGTAAGATTTGATTCAGAGAATGGACATCTTCTACCTCTTCCCCCCAATTCTGAAAAATTGAAAGTGTTATTTTTAAGAAGTCAGTGTTGTTCTTTAAGTAAATTGATGTTTCCAGTTTCAAATTTGAATGAATTGTTGATTGAATGAAATTCCTATAGATTTAAAGGGGTAAATAATACTCATTTAGAATAGAATGTGCGACAATGAGTATAAAATTTATATATGTGTAAATGTTTATGTGTGTGTGTATATACATATACACATATGTGTGTGTGTGTGTATATATATATATATATATATATATATATATACATTTTTATTTTATTTATTTATTTTTTAGGATAGGGTTTCTCTGTGCAGCCCTGGCTGTTCTGGAACTCACTCTGTAGACCAGGCTGGCCTCAAACTCACAGAGATACACCTACCTCCAAGTGCTGGGATTAAAGGCATATGCCACTACCTTCTGGCTAATGGTTTTGTTTTGTTTTTTAAAGTTTTTCAGCTGGATGTGGTGACACATGCCTGTAATCCTACCATTTGGGAGGCTGAGGCAGGAGGATTGAGCTACATAGTGAGTTTAAGATTACTTTGAGCTACATAGCATGACCAAAGAAAATCTCAAAAAAAAAAAAAAATAGAGGGTGGGATATTTATTTGTTTGAGATGTTGTAGCATTGAAATAAAGAGACAGAATTTATTATGCATATTTGAGGAAATTAAATTATCTGGAATAAATAATGCCTCTTAACTGAGTGATTAAAGTTAGTATAATATACTTGAATGTTTATTAATTTCAAAGGAAAATATCCTTAAAAATCTTTGTCTTGTATGTGGTTTTTCATTGTGATACTTGCTATATTTGTTTTATTGAGCTTAAAATAAAAGTTTTTGGCACAGATATCTACTATTATTTATGTAGTTAAAAACCTTTAAATTTTTAAGCATTAATCATTCCTAATCAGTAAGGCTGCAAAATGTGTATTAGTAAGTATTAGTGATATAAAAGTTCTGAAGGAATGTATGTCACTACTGCCAGAGTCTTCAGATGGTGTCCAGAGTTGAACGCTTGCTTCTGTCTGTGACTCTCAGCTGTTCTTGTGCAAGCTCTGCTTCCCAGGACTGTTCGGCAGCATCTGGGTCCAAGTGCACAGCCGTGACCTTGACTCTCACACTAGAGATCTGTTGTTGCTGGATTTCTGTGCATTGATGTGGAGCTGGTCTCTGAGGCAGACGAAGCAGGAGAGGGGCTGTGATGTCAGAGGTTAGGTGTACAGGTGGACTAGGAGATCCTGGGCATCTGCTTCCTGACTGTTGTCCTAAAGTAGATACTGCAATAAAGCAAGAAAGGGAGCTTTGGATTTCCCTCTTACCTCTACAGTATATGTTTATCCTATAGTTTATTAATTGTGCAATAGCATTGCCTCTTAAATATAATTGTTTATATTCTAATTAAAATATTTTGTTAGAAATACATTGTTGCTCATCCAAGTTGAGAAAAATGGGTCTGATAGACTGGCTACATTCAGGGTTGACTCACACCTTAAATTTGTTAAATCTAAAATTTCTGCTTTGCAGTATTTGAATTGGAAGAAACGTTGGTCCACCCATGATCAAGGGAGCTGGTGCCATACCCAGTCACTGTTACATGCTGTTTCTTGCTGCTCTTGGTCCCTCCACTAGCTAACTAACTCTCTGTTTGAGGCACATTGTATTGTATTGGGGATAGAGGACCCATGATGGATGGTAGCCTAGGTGGAGTACCCATAGGTAGATGTTTCCTGGGGAAAGGATAGTTTGGTGCTCTTTCTGTTTGATCCTGAGAGGAAGGTGGAAGTAATGTACAGAAATGCGGAGTAGGTGGGGCATGGACTGGATTTTCTGTTTGTTTTCTTAGATGTGTGCTTCCTTGTCTGTGGCGTGTGTCATTGTATACTCCAAGTACATAGCACTTCTGAGCAGTGGTTTGTCCTTCTTATTCTACAACTTGCTTCAGATTTCATTTCATCGAAAGCAGGTTGACTGATCAGAGTTGTCTTGTCTGTTTCTTCTTAGTTTAGAAAAATGATGAGTTCCTGTTGGTCAGGAATGGGAGAGGGCTCACAGCTGAGACATGGCATGTGAATGAGGCATGGAACACACACACCTTTAGTGTCTCTCAGTACAAATATTCTTAGGATTATTAGGGGAAACAAAGGTGCAGAGAGGGAAGGAAGGCTGGCTGTGCACACCTTTTGTCCCACAGCCAGGTTTGTGGCCATGGAGCACAGCTGCATTGAAGTACTGTGTCCTGTCTTTGAGGAGCCTGAGCTGTGATGTCTGCGTGGGTGGGACCGGGGATGTCAGTCAGATAAGTCTGTAATGACTGAAAGTCTGAGGGAGGGAAGTGGTCTTGTTAGAAAAGACACCTCAATGGCTAATGTCAGTTTCTTCTTCCATTGGTAGGTGAACTGTGAGAGGAGGGGAGAACTTCCAGCATTTTCTGAATTTGATTCTTGTCAGTTGTTGAGTGCTAGGAAAGCCTAGATACACAGTTAAAGAACTAATTCCCATTAATTCCATAATTTCCATCAGAGATAAAATGGTTCCAGAAGGCTGAGCACAAGCAACAACTCTTTCCCTAAGAGAAGGCTGAAGTCTGAAGGGACACTGGGTAGCACCTGATTATTGGGGCGGTGACCATGATGCAGACTTTGTTTCAACCTTTACAGGAGGTGTTTGGTCATGGTGAGTAGTTTAGAAGGGAATGCCTGTTGGCACCTTGACCTCAGAGAGCACAGATGTTACACAGTTTTGGTTAAGAAATGCCACAAGTCTGAGTCTGGTGATCTTTGAAAGATTGGATGACGTGTATCATACCGTTTTTTTTCTTGATAAGAAGGTAGGAATGTGTACATTGCATTTGGCTATCCAAAAAAGATGTGGATTAATTTGCACCAGCAATAGAATGAAGTGACTTTTCATTATAAACTTTGTTCTTAGAATGATGAAACTGTATTCTGCTGGCTCATTTAACTGTATTGTGCACGATTGTGTGTAGTTCATTAGTGCCAGACAAACTTTTCTTTGACTAGGAGAGCAAATTGCTATCAGTCTTTGAGTGTACGCACGCATACGCACCTTACACATGTTCTTCACAGGTTCTGCTATTCAGCTACATTCCCTGTGTTTATGAAATGTGCTTTATCATATAACTGATTTCCATGTGCAGCTCTAGACTGTACTTCACATTTTGTTTTTTGGACTGTGATATCTGGTCCTTGGTGGGTACTGTAGTGGTTTAATTGTAAATGCATTATGATTATTTTTTAAATGTTGGTGATTGAACCCAGGGCCTCATGTGCTAGGTGAGTGTCCTACCTCTGAGCTATACCTCCACCTTTCAGCTTCTGAATCTGGGAGATGAGCATTACAGGTTCTCTTGTTCATATAACCTTTACTTTACAGTTTAAATAATAAAGTTGTATTCGCTTCCTGTTGATAGTATACCAAATTATCATGAACTCAGTATTTAAAGAAAAATACATTTCCTAGCTTGGGAGGGCAGAAGTCCTAAAATGAAGACAGGAGCAGGACTGTGGTCTTTCTGAATGATGTAAGAGTGTAATTTTCATTATAAACTTTGCTTTATTAAGTTGCTGTAATTCTAAACAGTCTTATTAAATAAGAAACACAGTGCCAAATAAAGAGTTAAAAGCCCAAGAGGTCAGAGCACTAGCGAATAGCCTTTAGCTTACCAGCTGCTGCTGTCCTTCCCCTGAGAAAAGAGACCTATTTCCTGTGTGTCTGTATTTTTTTATTGACTTTCTGTTCTGCCTTCTCATTAGTTGTAAACCCAACCACATGACTTCTTCATCACTGCCTGTCTATATAGACCTCCAGGTCTCTATGGTTGGTACTGGGATTAAAGGAATATGTCACCAAGCTGGCTATGTCCTTGAACACACAGACTCTGCCTGCCATGTGATCAGATTAAGGGCGTGTGTTACCACTGTCAGACTTCTGCTAAATGGCTTACTATTAGCTCTGACCTCCAGGCAACTTTATTTATTAACATACAAATAAAGTCACATTTCAGCACAAATAAAATATCACCATATAAGGGAGATTTGAGGGCATTAAAACTTTCTCTCTCCTGGTAAGTTTGTAGAGTGTACTGCTCTGCTGTTTGTTAATGCATATGTGCCAGGTCATGCGCAATCCAGCCCAGGCAGGAGGTTATCTTGTCCCCAGTGCGTTGCAGAATATGCATGGTAAGTGTGAACAATGTGTAGTGTGGGTTCTTAGGGTCTACAGATTAGCTAAAAGTTGCTGTAAAGACTGTTTCATACGACCCTGGTTCAAGGTGGAAAGAAAGAGGCTGTGCTGGTCCCACAAGTGGTCTATTTTGGGGTGAGCTGGTGTTAGGGCCTCAGTTGAGATACTTTACTGCATCCTTGATGCCAACTTAATTTTACTGTGAAAACTTGTAAGGTAAGACCACACCCACAGCCTTTCCCACTCTGGTGACTTTCTCCTACCGCACAAATGATTCCATCCCTTCTTTGGCTGATGTATCCTTGTCGGTAGGTCTACTGAGAATATAGCCTGTTTCCTCTTCCTCTCCATGCTTGCCCCTTGAGGCTGACCTTTCCCCTCCTGTGATTAGACTGCTGCACCTCATGCCTCCTAAGCCTTGTCTCTGATTTCAGCCTCCTCCCAGTTGTTTCCATCACTCTTTTGATTTACATTTCCAGGCCAGACATTCTCCCTGTCTTTATTCTCTCCTTACCCATGCTTCAGTGACATCACTGTCCTTTCTCTATTCTTTCTTTTTCTCTTGGGACTCTTCAGTTCCTATGGGGCGTCTCCCCACTTTTGTCTTTTGATATATTTAAATCTGGGTCTTGGTTGTGAGAGTCACATGACACATTCTTGAGTGATGCCATTGGTAAAGGTGGCAGTGATTTCTCAGATGGGGAACTATTCTTTAATACCATGTCTCAGAGTCCCAGTAGATGACAGTCACCAGACTACAGATCTAGCCTTTGGTCTGGGAGCCTGCCTCCTGGGAGTGTTTCCTTTGCTTTCTGAAGAACTGTGTACAGCGACACCGTTGCTGCCATCCTCTTTTTCAGGGACAGCTTCACCTTCTTGGGAATGTCCGCCCCTACAGAGCCCTGACCTCTATGGTTCTATGGTAACTCTAAGGTTACTTGAGGTTGCTGCCTTTTCCACCCAGGGCTGCCTTATTCTCTTCCCATGGAGAAGCAGACATTAAGCACCCTCATGTACGATCCGATGATTTAACTGCACGATACATGCCTACTTTTACTCTGGAGTTAATAATCATGCATCTCCCCAGATGTCTTGCATTTGATACCAGAAGTTCCTTTGTAGTCATGGTTGTATAAACAAATGTATGAAATGTTGAAAGAAAACTTGTCAGAGTATAAGTAGATTATTCATCACTCCTCTCTGGCCTTCCCTTTCCCCTTCTGTTACCTCCCTGCTCACTCTCCTCCTTGCGCTCCTCCTCTTCATCTTACTCCTCTTTCCCTTCTGTGCTGGGCCTTGAACCCAGGACCTGGAGTGTGGTACAATAGTGTTCTACCACTGAGCTGTATTCCCAGCCTCACTTCTTCTTTCTAAATGTAGACTGGATGCAGCTTGGGTTTCTTAGAATTGAATTCTGTCTTTAGACACATGCTATTTATACTTATGAAATATAATTGTTACCCAGGAAATACTTGCTTCAGAAGTGGAAAGTTGACCAGGTGGCCTTTAATCCACTCAGGAAACAGGCAAGCAGACCTCTTGAGTTTGAGGCCAGCCTTGTCTACAGAGTGAGTTCCACGACAACCAGGGCTACACAGAGAAACCCTGTCTCAAAAAAACCAAAAAAAAAAGGGGAAAGTTGGCCCTGGGTTTGTAGCTCAGTTGAGTGCTGTGTAGCATGCACGGGGCCCTGAATTTGACCCCTACCCCGCCAGGAGTATAAAGTTGGTGAATTATTTCAGTGAATAAACTATTTTAGGATTGTTGTTTGCATATCTTCTCATCAGAGAGATATGTAAAGAGCAGCTTTACATACAAGTTCCAGTGTGATAAAGTAAATAGCATTCTCAGAGATGAGCTGTTGCCAGATTTGGAATAAAGTGACCAGAAACCCAGAGGTGATGATTTTTCTGGACCATCACATGATACTGGGGTTGTTTACCTTTTCTTTTCTCTTTGGGTCTTCTAGAGGGGTATTCGATGCTTCCCTCAAAATGGCTGGCTTCTATGGCTTGTACACCTGGCTGACTCACACCGTGTTTGGCATCAATATTGTCTTCATACCGTCAGGTAACAACCGTGTACAGAACTTCAGAGTTAAGATACGCAGTCTGGTGGCTACAGGTCTGGTCTAGATCAGCCTGTCTGCAGTGCACTTGTATTTTGCTGTAGCCCTGTATCCGGAACCATACCCCTTGCACAGAAAGTCCTGTGCAAGTGTCGAAAGAGTAGATGTCCTTGCACTTTGCACAGCATTGGGCACATAGATGGCACTCAACAAATTAATTGAACTAATTGGCAGGCAGTGAGCAGGTTGTTATCTCATCACTTTGTCCCTTGAGGGATAACATCCCAGGGGTAGGATGCATGTTTCTGTGCCTGTTGTGATCTGTTCTCAGAGCAGCACTTCCATTCGACAGGCACCACACAGACAAATGACAAGCTTGTTCTTTCTCCTTTGTTGGTGAATTCAGAACCCCTTCCGCTTTTTCCTTCTGTTTTTGTCATGTTTCCTTAACTCTCCTTCCTGCCTTCCACATTCAGCTCTGCTGTCACTCTTCTACTTCTGTCTCCCACTTAGCTGTCTAGGAACCCACCCTGTGAGTGTCATGCACAGAGACCACACGAAGCTATTGTGTGGTCATCTTGAGGCAGGCAGGAAAGGTGACAAATAGATGAAAACCCATTATTCAAGGTTACCCAAATGGTTAATGGTTGAACCAGAACAAGAATCCACATCTGTGTAGCTCTTAGTCTGAAGGGAACCAAAGAGAGGAGAGTGCTTGGACTGCTTTGGAACAGGGCAAGCTTGAAGTAAAGTCCTCTTACAGGACTTTGTTATATCTAGTTACTTTTTTTTTAGTATCAAAGTAAAGAATAAAAATTCAACCTGAGATTTGGATTGACTTGAGGGTCAGGACTTTTTGCTAAGTGTCCTACAGCTATATTTATAGAACTGGATTTTAGCCATAGGACAGTAAGATTTAACACTTAAGAATAACATGAACTATGGGCTGGAGAGATGACTCTGGGTTTAAGAGCATTGACTGCTCTTCCGGAGGACCTGGGTTCAATTCCCAGCACCCACATAGCAGTTTACAGCTGTCTATAAGTCCAGTTTCAGGGGATGTGACATCCTCACACAGACACAATAACAATGCACAGAAAAAAATTAAATCATTTAGAAAAAAAGAACATAAGCTAGACACATTAGAATAATTTATAACAACTTTTTAGATAAAGAACTGTTAGCTGGGTGGTGGTGGTGGTGGTGGTGGTGGTGGTGGTGGTGGTGGTGGTGGTGGTGCACACCTTTAATCCCAGTACTCAGGAGGCAGAGGCAGGTGGATCTTGGAGTTTGAGGCCAGCCTGGTCTACAGAGTGAGCTCCAGGACATCCAGGACTACACAGAGAAACCATCTTAACCTTGCCTCCCTCACAACAACAACAACAGCAACAACAACAAAATAGTGAACTGTTATTTAACTAGGAAGTTCAGTTAAACAGGCTCTACCAGTCCTATATAACTGAAGCTTGTATTCATTTACTTGTTTGGGTGGATGTGTGTGTGTGTGTGTGTGTGTGTGTGTGTGTGTGTGTTCGTGTGTGTTCAAGACAGGGTTTCTCTGTGTACCCTGGCTGTCCTAAAACTCACTTTGTAGATCAGGCTGGCCTCAAACTCACAGAGATCCACCTGCCTCTCCCTCCCCAGTGCTGGCATCAAAGACATGAGCCACCACTGCCTAGTTGTTTGGGTGTTTTTTTTAAGATGATTTTATTTTATTTTTTTAATTTTATGTGTGTGGCTGTGTATGTATTTATTTGTACCACATGTGTTCAGTGCCTGCAGAGACCAGAAGAGCATGTCAGATCCCCTGATCTGGAGTTACAGTGACTGTGAATGCCATGTGGGTACTGGAAACCAAACTTGGGCCTCCAGCTGCAGTGGGCTCTTTTTTGGGGAGGGAGAGGAAGATCTTGAGTTCTGCTGCTTTGTTACTGTTTTGCCAGTGACTTTGATGTGCTTTTCCCTTACTCGTGTGTTAGCTTTGGCAGCAATCCTTGGAGCAGTGCCATTTCTGGGGACATACTGGGCAGCAGTACCTGCAGTTCTAGACCTGTGGCTGACACAAGGCTTAGGATGCAAGGCCATCTTGCTCCTGGTCTTTCATCTCTTGCCGACATACTTCGTAGACACTGCAATCTACTCTGACATTTCAGGGTAAGCGGTTCAAGTTCTTGCTAAGTCATAGGGGGTTTGGTTTTGGGAAGAGATGGGGAAGGACTGGTGGCACAATTTTTCTGTTGGGTAGCCTTCTGTGATCCCTCTGACAGTGAAATTTGGATGTAGAATAATATTGCTATGATAGGGGTATGATTGTTATTATGTAATTAATATGTATTTATTAAGCCCAAGTTAAGATAAAATTATGCATAATTCTGTTTTGATTTTTGTGGCATTTTGCCTAGGAAAGAAATATTACCAGGCATACCTAAAATATTTTAAATACAGTAGAGTTAGTTATTTCAGTGCTGTTTTGCCTTTGGAGAAAATGATTATGCAATTGTGTGTCTACAAATATGTGTGTCCAGCATAAGGTGAATCTCATCATGCTCTAATGACTGTGCTCTTCATTCATAGAGTATCTACTATATATGGTTCATGATGAACACAACTTCAAGTTAAAGCTAGTCAAAATTTGATGATATGATAAAGATTTATATTTCTAGGTTTTGATACCTGTATAGAGATTGCATCCAGTCCTCAAGCAGCTTGTCACATGTGTCCAGATTCACATTGTTCATTAGAATCTCAGTCCCAACCAAATGGATTTCCATCTGTGACTTAAAATTCAGAATATGGCCTATGAAACCCATTTATTATGGACAGTTAATGCATCTATTATCTTCATTATTATGACGTTTATTGTTTTGAGGAAGGCTCTCACTGTATAGCTTAGCTAGACCTCCCAATTCACAGTCCTCCTGTCTCAGCTTCCTAAGTAATGTAATTCCAGTTGGGGCTCACATCTGTCCTCATTCGGTGGACTGTCAGTAAATAAAAGATACAGTAGGGTTGATTGCCTGTGGAGTGGGAGACGAGGAGGAGGACCAGGCATGGTGATACACGCCTTTAGTCCCAGCTCTTACTGCAGAGGCTGGTGGATGATCTCTGAGTTCAAAGTGAGCCTAGGTTACACAGCCAGTTCGAGGCCATCCAGGGCTAAATAGTGACACTCTATCTCAAAAAAGGAAAAACAAAATCTAAAGGCCAACTGGACAGGGCCTCAGCTTCTAGAAACAGCTGTCTTCAGCTATTTTAAGAGTTGTATGGTGACTTATTTCCTCATACATAAATTAAAGTTAGAAAATAATTTGGAACCATGCAGAAACCCCATTGAACCAGAGTGAAATGAAACAGGCAACTTCCTCTCCTTCCTAGAGGGGAATTTCTATGCCTACAGCTTGAGAAGGAAAAGTGAAATTGCTGAAAGTATCACCGGGGTCTGTGATCCCAGCGGTCAGGAATCAGCGTCCAGTTGGAGGCCCACTGGGGCTACACACTAATATCCCGTCTCAGCGTCAAAAGCAGAGCCTGGAGCTGGAGAATTGTCTCCGAGGTTAAGATGTGTATTCTTCTTCCAAAGGACCTGAGCGTGGTTCTAAACACCTACACTGGGCAGCTCACAACTGTCTGTACCTGCAGCTCTAGGAAATCCAAGATCTTCTTCTGGTATACAGCCATACAACACATACACACATACACAGAAGTCAAAATTTTGAAACAAACAAACAAAAAGCCTAGCTTAGTGGTGCACAATTGTAATGTCAGCACTTGAGAGGCGTAGGCAGAAAAGTCACCAAAAGTTCAAAGCCATTTGTTTTACATTGTAAGCTGCAGGCCAGTAAGGGCAGCAGGGTGAGACCCTGCCTCAAACAGCCAACCACAGAACCAGTGCTGTGTGGTTTTAATGGGTTTAAACAGGATATGATTTACCTTGTGCTTTATATATTTAAGCTTTGCTATACATTTTTTATATTAAGGGTTATAATTTAAGATTTATGTGTGATTTTTTGATAAATACTTTATTTGATCAGTGTTATTAGGAAATGAAAAGTTTGGTGTAAATTTCATATATATTTATTTTATGTTCATTGGTTTATTTTATGTTCATTGATGTTTTGCCTGCAAGATCTGTGTGAGGGTATCAGATCTAGGAGTTACAGACAGTTCTGAGCTGCCACGTGGGTGCTGGAAATTTAACCTGGGTCCTCTGGGAAAGCAGTCAGTGCTCTTAACTGCTGAGCCATCTCTCCAGCCCTAAATTGTATTTTTAATTAAATTTTTGTTTAATTTTCTTCAAACATATTGTTTAGGGAAAGTCTATGTGACATATGTGGGCCATTGCTATAAATCTATTTTTAGAAGAAGGAAGAGAGCTAAATTATGAACATCATGTTTTTGTTTCCTGAAGGCTGACTTACCACGGTATCTGTTTGTAAACTGTGATATAGTATCAAACATCCTTCCTGCGTATGTAATTATTTACCCTCATTAAAATGTTCCACTCATTTGTGTTATTTAAAAACTGGAAACAAACAGACCATGACCATTTCTTCATCCTTCTGACGTCAGTGGTCAGGGCTTATCTATGCTGTGCTGCTGTATCTGTCTCCCTCCATCCCATCATGCCAGCGATGCCGTGATAAGATGCCGTGATAAGCTGCGGGACAGTTATGACTCCTGTGAAATAAAAGTCTTGGCCTTTGTTGACAGATGCCTTCCTTATGTGGCCTTTTATTACACCTGTGCTAACCGTATTTTCGAAGGCTGCCAAAGGTCTAAACTAAGAATAGGAATATTGACGTTACTATTTTTTACAACTATAATTATTGTTTTATTAAAGAAGCCATAGTTAACTGAATGCATGCTAAATTGTACTCACTGTTACCCTTAAAGGCAGTAAACCTAGCAGGCATCTTAGGTGACTGGTCTTCAGCCAGCAGTAATCTTCAGGAAGCTGTGTGGAACGTTACAAACTACTGATAACAGCTAGTCCTGTAAGAAGAAGCATATGCCACTTATGGGTACATTTGCAAGAAAACCCTTGTTTCTCAATATTATTATACCGTTCTGATTTTGCATTGACGTAATCTAAAGAAGCTAGTGGTGGAGTAAAGCCTGAAATCCGAGAGAACCGACATTGTGTTAGAAAGTACCTGGGGTTTACTCCCCAGCTGCTGCTTGTTAGAAGTCGCATGAACTGGTGTCCTCTTTGTTTCAGAGGAGGTCATCCTTACCTGACGGGCTTAGCCGTGGCAGGCGGAGCGTACTACCTGGGCCTGGAAGGAGCAATCATCGGGCCCATACTTCTCTGCATCCTTGTGGTTGCTTCCAATATCTACAGTGCCATGCTAGTGAGTCCCACGAATTCAGTGCCCACACCAAACCAGACACCTTGGCCTGCTCAGACTCAGCGGTGAGTTCAGCAGCATTATGGTAACCATGTGTAGTCATAGACTGCTCTTGTTTTCAGTGATTAGCTGTATCTAGACTTGGCGGGGTAAAAGTCTCTGAGCACTCATTATCTTGCAACATTTCCATTAGTCCTTAAGGTTTCCAGAACATTCTCAGCATCAGATATTCTGCGTATTGATATTCAGACTGTAGTCACTTCAGAATAGCCCCACCCCCACCCCAGGGTTTCTCTGTGTAGTTTTGGTGCTTGTCCTGGATCTCACTCTGTAGACCAGGCTGGCATCGAACTCACAGAGATCCGCCTGGCTCTGCCTCCCACGTGCTAGGATTAAAGGTGTGCACCACAGCCACCTGGCCAGAATAGTTTTGAAGGTGGTCTAAAGTGTACTGTGTACTCCTGAGGCATGCCTTGTTTGGTCAGCGTTTTTACCTGTGATACTCATTCTTTTTCATGTTTTCTGACATACAGTCAGTATGGTTTTTTTTTTTTTTTCTCATTTTTTAGTGTAGTATTGAAAGACATCAAATAGTTGTCATTTTATGGCTGTTAAAAGACAAGATTCTGGGGCTGGAGAGATGGCTCAGAGGTTAAGAGCACTGGCTGCTCTTCCAGAGGTCCTGAGTTCAATTTCCAGCAACCACATGGCAGCTCACAACTGTTTGTAACTCCAGTTCCAGGGGACCTGACACCTTCATACCAATGCACATAAGTAAAGTTAAATAAATTATTTAAAAAAAAAAAAAAAGATGCAGGGCAGTGGTGGCACACGCTTTTAATCCTAGCACTTGGGAGGCAGAGGCAGGAGGGTCTTTGTGAGTTCGAGGCCAGCCTGGTCTACAGAGTGAGATCCAGGAAAGGCACAAAGCTACACAGAGAAACCCTGTCTAGAAAAACCAAAAAAAAAAAAAAAGACAAGATTCTGTTAGTTATCTGGTGTGTACATCCTAGTGGTTGTGAATTGTATTTCACTAGCTTATATCCCTAGAAGTGGAATGTCTACTGTGTATCAGGTTTAATGTTAGAAACTTGCAAAGTAAGCCAAGGGTGTTGGTTCATACCTATAACCCCAACATTTAGGAGAGAGAAGCAGGCAGATGATCAGTTTGAGTACTCTGACAGCAGTTTGGGCAACATAGTGACCACTGTCCCAGAATCACACAGTGAAAACCTTACAAAATGGACTTTCTGATAGTTAAAATCGCGCTGGTTATGGCAGAAAAGTCATGGCGGCAGGGAGGCCTGGTAGGGGAGAGAGCAGAGAGAGAGGGTGGAGGTCCGAGTCACCCAGCTGCTGATGACAGCTGTTGATGACGTAAGACACCAGACCTGGAGGAGTGAGGGCAGGATCCTAACACTTTTCTATGTAAAGTATGCGGCTATACAGCCTAGCAACAGTTTCAGGATGACATTTTTTAAACTTGTAGATACCTCAGTGTGTTGTCCAGCTTGTCTTGAGTGGGAAAGCACCGGTTTCCATGTCATTATGTATTCTAATGTATTTGAGTGCTCCATCTGACAGTCCACTTACACCTTTGTGTTTCTGTGTAAAATCCTTTTAAAGCATGTGCTGCTCATTTTGTTTTAAATAGCATATCTTTTGAAGTGAACATAGTGGCTTCTGAGTTGGAGTCAGCTGCTCAGGAGCCCATTGGAGCTAATAATTTTATTTTGAGACAGGATCTTCTTATATCACTGTGTAGCCCTGGCTGGCCTGGAATTCAGAGATCCACCTGCCTCTGCCTCGAAATGCACCCTTTAATGATGGCTAAGAAAAGTCAGTTTCCTTAGGTGACTGACGAAGGCCTCATCAACTGGGTCTGACAACACTTGGACTAGATCTTTTCTCCCTCCCCCCCCAGCTCCCCAGGGGGCTCCCCCCCCCTCCTTCTTTTTCTTGAGGCAGTCTCACTGTGGAGCTCAGGCCAGCTGAATTCACGTTCCACCCTTTAGGTTCCTGAGTTATGGTGTGCACTATACTACCACATCACTTTGCTCTTTGCTTCAGTAGCAGGTGCTCGGGAACCTGCAGAGTGGAGGGATAGATAGCTTCTTCAGAGCACTGGGGAGGGAACCACAGATCTTGTTATCTGTTTTGCTGTTATTTTTTAGGGGTGGGGTGGGGTGTCTTCTAATGATTTTTAATATATAAAACAAGAGTTACTTTAAGATGAAACAAAAGAAACCAGTGTATAGAGAAAAGAGACCTCTTTCTCTTCTCCTGGAAGTAGGAAGTTGTATCGTTAAGCAGGGGTTGCTGGGAAGGATGATGTGAGGACTAATAATAGCCACCATTATTTATTTCCTTCAGTCATTCATGTTTGTGGACAGTTTTGTTGTGCTTATTGTGAAAAACAAAGGCTTTGACTTTTCTCTGCACAAAAGGTATCAGATCGTGAAAGTTTCTGAGTTTTGGCTCATGTTAAGAGTGAGCCACTGAAGCTGTAGGTTAGTTGTTATGTGCGTGACTTATCTGACAAGTCCACTGACCTGTGCAGCCCTTGATGGCTATGAGTTTTGGTCCCTTTTGTGGGGTGATTGACTCCTCACAGATCTTCAGTTCTGCTGGTTGGAGGTAGCAAGCCCAGCTGCAGCCAGGAGCAGGGAAGGGGCGATGGGTTGAAGATGCAGAGATGCTGTAGCTCAGTACCCTGTGCTAGTACATAGCCCCACTTGCAGATCTGCCTGCCGTTCCTAGTCCAAAACTCTCCCTTCTCCAGAGAAAAGAAATTAATTTCTGCCAAGGAGAGGGGAACAAGGGACTGCTGCTTGGTGTGGCGGAAGTGGGTGGGGATGCTGGAGGGGAGGTGGTGTCTTAGGCTTCCTTAGCAGATGAGTGGCGAGTCATTGCTTAGCTCCACACACCATTCTCATGGCTAGCTCATGGTACCTACTTCCGAGCCTTAGGGGATTTTGCTGAGTGAATTTAGGTTGTTTTAGGCTCCTTCTACTACTGGCTTGGAATTTCTGCTTTTCAGGGTGACCAAGTGCCAGTGGTTACCTATTGGATTCACCCCACCTCCCCCTAGCTATTAATAGGTGCTTGTACTGGCATTCTGTGTTTGATGCACCATTCTTTTAGTGGGCAGTTTTAAAGGGATGTTTAAGTAGTAATACACATGACACTTCTAACATTTATTGAGACTTACTCTGTGCTGAATCCCATGATCAAAACTTTGTGTGTCTTTTGAGACAGGGTCTCTCTATGTAGCCCCAGCTGGCCTGGAACTCACTGAGATCCACCCGTTTCCATCTCCTGAGTTGTGGGATTAAAGGCATGCATGCATCAGGCCTGGCTCTGCAGGTGTTCTGTTCTGAACCTATTAGTGTTCCCATGATGCTTAGATGAAGAAGTGTAGAGATGTTAAGTTGCCCTATGGTCACATCGTTCCAAGCTTGCAAGCTGACCTGTTTGTACTAACGTTGTCTTTGTCTTTGTTTTTCCTAAATTCTCTGTCACCCAGAGCAAATCAACCACTGCATTTTCCCTGGGTGTCCTCACTCAGTACCTGTCCCCTTTACCCCTGGAGCCACCAGCATCTGAGCTGGCTTGTCTCTTGGGTCTGCTGTAGCTACCAGAGCCTCCTGTCTGTTTGTCCCCTTCCTCTTGTTGTCTAGTCACTGTTTGGGAACTGTTTTCTAAGCTTGTTTCACTTTTGTTTTCATTCCTGGGAAAACTTCTCCTTTTCTGTGCCAGGAGGCAGCATTGAATAGTAAGTCACCAGGGTAACCATAGTCAACCACAGTGTTAATCTTTTTTTATACATTTTTGTCAGACTTTTCATTCATAAATGAGAGAAATGAACAGTTATGTTTCATTTAAACATACAGATTTCTCTAAAACTTTTAAAGATGCCAAAGGATAAATTAATCGATAGGATTTTGAGAAATGTTATAGATCATTAGTTGTGAAAACATTTTCAGGGCTTTTCAAAAGCTCTACCTGAGTTTGTTTGTTGGAGAAAGTTTTTAGCTGACTTTGCCTTTCTTCAAATTCAAAGACACAAACTTGGACAACACCCAAAGAAATATTTACATAAAGAGTTGTTTGCAGCCATGGTTCTGGCAGAGGTGGGGAGTGCCCCCCACCCTACCCCATGTACACATACACACATGCATTGTTAGAACTCTGGATAGAGGCTGGGGATCTGCCAAATACAGTGTTCAGACATGGGGACAGTGTCATTGCTGAGAGATGATCAATACATAGATGGGTGCAAATCTTTGTTGTTTACTTTTTTTCAAAAGATGATAACAGAAGTATTTAAGGAAACTTTTGTTTCAGTGTTCAGATCTGTCACCAGGTGTTTTTGTATTCATGGTGGATTTGGTCATATAACACAAAAACTCTTTCCAAGCCCTGGGCTCCATAGCCAGGAGTTGTGTTTCTCCCTCATACCTGTGCCTTTGAAAGAGGAGACGTACCTAGTCCTCATGTTCTGAGGTCCAGGAGGCTTAGGTCACTGTCTTTGAAGCCTCCAGACAACTGAGCATCGTGAGTACAGTAGCTCTTGTATAACATTTGCCTTTCTTCCCTTTGACCTTGAAGGACTTTGTGCATTGTACTTCAGCCTATTCCTCCTTTATCTATCCTATGTGTTTGTGTGGACTGAAAATGGTTAACACTAAAGGCCTCTGGGAGGAGGTTGCAGGATTGTGGGATTGCTTTTGAAGTTAGATTTGCTTTTTAACCTGTTAAGGAAAAGCCTTGTGCTGTCCTTGCTTTGTTCACACTGCTGCCTGGACTTAGTGCACTTCACACTGTGAGGTCTTTTGGTTCTGTTTCTAATGAAAACATGGAGCACTTTGTGGTAACTGATGGCTGATTTGCTATAAAAACAAAATTCACTTTGCTGGACTTGGAGGAGAATAATCTAAAGAGGAACAGTGATATAACATGCTGTGTTTATATGGTCACAGACTAAATGTAAATTTGAAGTTGCTCTTGAGGGCCTGGAGAGATGGCTTGGTAAAGACTAATTGTTGCTCTTGCAGAGGACCCAGCTTTAGGTCCATATGGTTACCCACAACCATCTGGAACCCTAGTGCTAGGGAATTGGATGCTCTCTTCTGGGTATCAGACATGCACATGAGGCATCTACATACATCAGTCAAATTTTTTTGATTTTGAAAAATGCTAGTGTTTTAGGGTCAAATGTCTTTTGTATTCCTACCTAGTGATTCTGTTAAGGAGAAGTATGGTTTCTTTCTAGATGGGTGCTAATAGACCATCCATATATATTTCACTTCAGGTAAATTTGCCTCAATAATAGTAACAATGCTAGTAATAAATCCCATCACCCATCACCAGCTGAACTCAAAACAACATAAAGAAGACAAATTATTTTTTACTTGTTTAAAAGAAGTCCAGAGGGGCATTCCAGGTCTAGTGTGTTAAACAAATGCCCAAATCCAGTCTCTCCCTATCAGAATGCTTTGCTAGCTTTGACTTGTGGCTTTCTAAGGTGGATACTGGAGCTCATGTTTATTAATAAGCTCTACCTGCCCGTTTGGCTGTCTGTAAGCCCCTCAGCTTTGCCGGGTGACATTATGACTTAGGCCAGTCAGTCATATCAAGGGGTGTTTAGCCACCACTGTCCTGAGGTAGGAGCCTTTGTGCCGCAGACCTTTCTCTCCAGTCAGGACACCAGCTGGCACTTGGCAGTGCTCACTTAGCCTGTCTCATGTAGGACAGCCATAGTACAAGGCAGGTGATGAAAATGCCTGCCCACCTCTGCCTGGAACTCCGCCCTGCAGGGCGTGGCTTCTGGGCTGCTCCAGGGTTCCTACTTCCTAACAGGAGTCTAGCTACTCAGCATTTATTCCGATCGGCAAGACTTAATCTCTTTAATATCATCCTATCTATTTTCCAGCTAGTTAGAAGTTCTGAGAGCCAAGGCACTGCCCAAAGTTTCACAATACTTCTCTGAACATCTTGTTAGCCAAGATAATGGATTCAGCCCAAAACTGGGCTTTTGTTTGTAATGAATAAGGGCTAACTAGTAGATTTTGAAACAATCTTGTAAAAGTACTAAAAATAGTGAATGTAATCTCTTCTACCCTCTTAAAGGTTATGAAATAAGGTAATGCTGTATGGTAGCTGGTTCGGGGCTTGCCCCTCCCTCCTTTCTTCTAACATTCTCCTTGTGGTTTTACTATCCCTGCCCCTTCTTCCCAAAGCAAATGCAATCATTCTGTCTTTTTTTTTTTAGGACTTTCCGTGACATCGCTGAAGATCTGAAATCTTCAGGAGATTGACATGGCTTCACTGTGGTGACTTCTCTGGGGAGTTCCACTCGACAGCGAATTCTCCCACTTGTGGCCTCTGTCCTGTCAACTGTGTCTGGCAGGCAGGGGCACCCAGAAACGAAGCAGAAGCCTCCCAGCCTTACATGCAGAACACCAAGTGAGGAACACTCGCTCTAGGCTGCTTTGCGTTTTAAACCCAGCTTGAGTTGAACACTGTTAGCTCACAGCTCACACTAAGATGGCTTGAACAGTTGCAGTTCATGCACTGGTACCAAGGCTTGAAATTGCCCTCACTGATTGTCTACTGCAATGTGTATTTATTAAGTTACCGTAAGGGTTCCAAAATACCTGCTATTGAAAGTATATTCAGTGTAGTTTTCCTCCTGCCTTAGGAGTTCTTAGCCCCTTTTCAGTGATGAGGCTTTCACTTGGAGTAGGCTTAGTAAGCAGGAAAATGAGTCTGATACCCTTTTAGAATAACATCTTCCCCTTCTTGGAGAAGAAAGGAGTCTTAGGGGTGAAGGGGGTGTTAGTGTGCTGTGAGCAGAGGAGAAGCAGTCCGAGGAGAGCTCTTCCTCCCTTCCTCCCCTTCACCCCTCCTTTCAAGGTTGCCAAATTTCTACAACTTTCCTGACCACATTGGATGAAGATCCTGTTGAGCTGCTATGAATAGTAACAATGTGATAGAATCCACGTGTCAGCTTCTTCTTTTAACTGTTTTACAAGAAAAGACTCTCAGGTGTAGTGGTCCTGTGTTTGTTGTGTGTCCCCCAGTTCCGTACTGGGAACTCTACCAGTAAGTTACTTAGCAGCAGAACTTGGTTTTGTTTCTGCCCCTAGCACAGTGCCTTGCACATGTGACTCTAGTCGAGCGCTTGCTGAGTTGGGCTGTGACTTTCTGCGCATCTCAGATACCAGCACAGTGCTTTACATTTCCACCCTTGTGCATAGTCCTTCACAAGCATTCCCGTCAGCTCTCGCGGTGGCGGCGGCTTTGTATTCTCAGCAGTGCCACCCTGGTGGGGGTGCTAAGCTTCAGGACAGGGCCAGTGCAGAGCCGGTAGGTACCAAGTGTTGTAAGACTTGGTCTCCTGTCTTCTGACTTCACATCTGCCGACTCTGTCACAACACATTTCTTAGGGCTTCAGCAGTTTCCCAGTCCTGTGACCCAGGTGTTGTCATTCATTCCTTATAAGTGACAGAAAGTTTGTCCTGTTTCATGACATGGCCAGAAGAGCCAGCTCCTAGTGCTGTGTCCTTCCCGGCTGATCAGTCACTAACCCTGCCTGTGCCCCAAGGGAATGTAGAGCAGAAGGGATTTGTGGTGGTTTTTTTTTTTTTTTTTTTTTTTAAATATTTAAGACTAAAATTAATTTTCCCTAAAACATCTCACTAAGTTTGTAATAAACCCCACATACTGCTTGGCTTGGCTGTGTATAGTATATAGCACATGCAGGCCTCCAGATTGTATCATGAATCCTTCAACATTTATGGCCTGTTATTCCATTGCCTGTAGATTTGACCACTAAATCACTTCTTTGTTCTTTAATCAGTTGCTCATTTGCTCATTAACACATTTCTTGAGTGTTAGTAAACTCTAGGCACCATGCCAGGGACTGAACAGGGTGCTCCGGGAGATGACTCCTGAGGCAGCCTCTCACCTTAAGCACTGCACCAGCCAGATCATGTATCATACTGTCTAAACTTCTTGTATTAAAATGGCTGAAGAGAGAAACCCAGTTTGTGTTTGTTTACTATAATCTGATAAGTTTATAGCTATAATTAGCAATACTCCTAAGAGGCAAATATATACAGTGGTTTGTGTGCATATACAAATTATGTTGCTCCAATGTGCTTTTAGCCATGTAAAAGCAAAATTGCAAAAACCTAAGTTTGAGCTAATTCATAGCTGTTGGTAGGATAGTTCTTAATCTGAATGTGAAGTTGTTTGAGGGAAACTGAACTCCCTAAAATAGTGGCAGTGGCTTAAGCCTGTCCTGGAATTTTAGGAGCAGAGGTCCCCACAGAGGCACACAGTCCTGGTCAGGAAACCAGAACCACTCCATTGCTACAGTGTACACAGGAACGCCACCTTTGGGTAGGTTAGAACTAGAAAAGTACCCTGGCGTGTGTCAGGCACAGAGAGGAGGTTTTACAGAATTTTCCTAGGATGGATAGTGAGCAGGTAGCATGACAAGGAGTCTCTAGCTTAAGTCTCTAATTTACCCTGAAGAATTTGCATGGGAATTTGACCCGGAAGAAGTTCCCCTGGAGGTCGGGGGAGACAGAGACAGAGTCAGAGACAGAGGAGTGTGTGTATAGAATGCATCCGTGCAGCAAAAGTAGCTTCCGTGAAACTGGGGATAGAGATCTGCCTTAGCATCTTGGAATGTAAAAGAACATAAAGGGTTAGTTTCAAGTTTCCTTCCCTGACAGTTTCCAACTGAAGGGGTACAAGGGAACTGAAAAGCTGTGTGCACCCGTCTGCTCCTACTTTTGATAAGAGAATGGGTGCAGGGCTGGAAGCATAAATTCCATGTTATGTGCATCCTGCCTGAATCCCACACTTTTATATTTAGACATGATCCATGGCCTCTTTGGCCGCCAGTGTTAGATATTATTAAAACTGTGAGTCTCCTAATCCTTCTTCTTCAAGAACTGGCTGCTTTCCTTTGGACTCTGAGATGAACCCTGTGTTGACTCTTGACTGTGGAAAGGTGCCCAAGATGTGTTATGTTGAGACCCTGTGTCCAAACTCTGACTTTAGGGATGACAGCTGCTTGTACCAGTATACAGGCAGTAAAGCAGTGCAGGGCAGCCTTCTGGCTAACCTTGGCCTTCAGAAGAACTCACCATGCTTTCTCAGGACTTCTGCATTCCTCCATTTCCCACTGGGGTTAGGTACCTGCTTCAGAAGTGTGGCAAGCAATGCTGAGAATTCAAGGCCAACTGGACTTAAACTAGAATACATTCATTTAGGTGACTATCAAGAGTTTTTAACCCAGTTGATGGGAAAATACCCTCAGGACTTCCCGTACTTCAGTCCTGACCTTCCAGTCACTATCTTCTGAGGGTCTCCCACAGCCTTTCCAAGAGTATCACAATGGGACTTTGAGTGCCCCTTTCACAGTGAAAATTGTATATTGCCACATACCTTCCAAATTCTTGTTCCTGCAAAGAACAACTATTATTTATTTATTTACTGTCAGCTTTTTGTATTTGCTAATCTTGCCATCAAATGTGTTCATTTCATTAACTCTCTAAGGTCTGGGAAAAACACCTATCTGAAGCCACTAAGCAGCTTTCTTGATAACATAAAAATACACGAGAGAATTGCAGATGAAAATTCTTCTTACCTGTCACAGAAGTTTGGTGCTTGAATGGGCTGTTGTAATGAGATGATGTGGTTGTTTTAGAGAAGGAAACAAATTTATGGGTAAAGTAGCGTATGTAACAGAGCCAGTTAACAACAGACGTCAGAGTGGAGTACAGATCCTCTCCCTCTCAGCCCGCCTTCTGCTTCTCTTCCCTTTTCCTCATAGCTCAACCACGTTTGTCAAAAAAGAAGAAGAGAAAGTTCTATAATAGCAGTTGTTTGCAGAATTAATGGAGTTGTAAGAGAAAAACTGCTGGGGTGGGGAGATTCTATGGTCAATTAAAATTGAGGAATGCTAAGGTATTTCCTTTCCCTGAGATGTCGGAGTGTTTATTATGCCATGACACATTGTGAACTTAGGAGGGACAGAGTGTTTCACAGTATGTTGTCCCCTACCCCTCTACCCCCAACCCCTCTCTGAGCATCTCAAGAGACCCGGGGTTCTTTTGAGCTTCTGATCAAGTTTACAGGTCTTGTAGAAGACAATTGCTAGTGAAAATACTGGCAGTGCATGTGTTATTGTGGTACTGAGGGATGGCAACAAGTCCCAGCAGTCTGGTGAGACACCAGAAAGTAGGCACATTGCTGCCCAGAGCTGTGCTTACAGGGAGGACATCCTTTCCCACCTGTGGCACACAAGATCAGTATCCAAGTTATCCAAGAATCACTTAATGTGCAAATACACTGGTGGCGTTGATACTGCATCTTAGCAGGCTTTCGTATGGCACTTTATATTTTCAGGCACCTTTGGGTTCAACCCTGTGAGCTATAGTGTTACAGTCATTGTACAGACGAGGCACTGGAGAAGTTTGTTGTTGACTCCTTCTCTTCTCCCTTCTCCTGCTCTCCTCTCTCCTCTGTTTAGATCACAAAAGGATGGAGCCAGAATTTGGTTGCAGAATCTCTGACTCCAAGTCCAAAGTTCTTGATACTGGTCTTTCCTTCTAGCTTTATGTATATGATGAAGGTATGGAAACAGATCTAACCATGGTTTTGCTTATTGTGAAGTACAAGTTCTCTTGTATTGGAGTGACCCAGAAGTGTAACTCTTACCGTAGCTGTCCTAGAAAAACCCCTTCTTTGTCCTTGCAGTCCCTGCTACTTGTTCAGGTACTTGGTTTGTACTTCAAATACTGTTTGATTGTGAAACCAAGATGGAACATATCATTGTAATTATTTAACTCTGAAAATGTATCACCTCTGCATTCTCAGGTGAAGGAGAGAAATGGTTTGACAGGAAAAATAGCATTCAAATGCAACAGTAAATATCCTTTATTACACAGATGCTGTTTCTTAGCTTTAATTTGCTTTCACAACTTACTGATGTAACAACATCTTTGTAAAATGTAAAATATTTATATTTTGAAATAAAGTCACAAATGTTGGATGAAACGGGTGATAAACTTAGCCTCTTATTTTTTGAGAAATCTGATCTTTATCCAGACTCTGCCTGCATATCCTACCTTTGGCGCCAGTATAGATACTGGTGCCAGTATTTTTATGAAATTTGGTCATCTTAGATGAGGGAAACTGTCTGGGAGTAGACGTTTGCACCTTAAAGAGGCCACAGGGTCCATAGCTGAGGCAGAAGTCCTCAGTGCATTGGAGAGAGGCAGCTTTGTAGATTGTGAGGATGGTGGTGAAGGTAAAAATGGGAAGACAGGGACCTGGAGAGGGGGCTGAGGAGTTAAGGGTAGATAGATACTGCTCCTCCAGAGGACCCAAGTTAGGTTCCTCACACTCTTATTGGGCAGCTGGTAACCACCTGTAGCTCCAGCTCCAGGGGATCCGATGCCTCTGCCCTTAAGTACTGCACTCACATGCACATTCTGACATACAAACACAGTTTAAAAGAAAGAAAAGAATTGGAAGACGAGTTGAATTCAGGAGCTCTTCTTTTGGAAGAACAGCCTAAGTTTTGCTGTCTCCATTACCGGATGCCTGTGCTGCTTTGGCAGATGAAGCCCTGCAACTTTGCCTTCAAACACTGCAAGTTGAGCCCCTTCAGTCTAACTTGATGGAGAAAGCCAGTCTCAGATTCCTTTTTGCCCCATAGATGCACATTAGTAGCTATGGTCCTTCAAAAATACTTTCTTATGCTTTTTAGTCAGTTGCTTAAGTTTAGAATCCTTCCTAAGGTGCAGGCTTCTAAAAGCCTTCCTTGGCTTTATTCCTGGAAACCGGAGGAAAAGGAGTGTTGGCACTCCCTCATCACAGGGATTCTGTGTGAGCTCATGGTTGGGCTGAGAGAATGGATGCTTAGCCTTAAGTGACTTCAGGCAGAAATAGACACAATCTTTTCATTCAAGGAGCAGTTAACAAGCTGCTATTTCTTGGCTAATATTAAAAATAATTCTAAGAAGACACTTTTAAAAGATACAGTATTTATCAGTGCACACTTTTGTTTTTAATTCTCTTGAAGGTGAATTCTAAAGATACTGCCTGCAAGATCCACTACCTTCTTGCTGAGTATCAAGATAACATGTGAATGTATTATATCAAATGTTTCAACTCCTTGTAAGAGATATGTAATCAGAAAATAGGAGTGAAGGGGAAATGGGGCGGACCTTCCCGGGAAGCCATGGAAAGATAATTAGAATTGCCATCTCAGGGCAGAGGTTTCCTACCATTTTCTTTTTCTTTTTTTTCTCCAGAGCTGAGGACGGAACCCAGGGCCTTGCACTAGGCAAATGCTCTACCACTGAGCTAAATCCCTACTCCGTTTCCTACCCTTTTCAACCCCATCAAAGCGTGTAGAAATATTTATGAGAATACAGGCATATGGATTTGGTGGGAAGCTTTGCTGGGAACAGTTGTCTTCTGGTAAGAGGCTACGTGAACATAGGGAGGCCCTCAGGTGTCTTGTTTCTCCTGCTTTAGGTAAAATATGCTGTGGAACACAACACAGGAAAGAGAAGCTGGTGCGGCCCAGGGGGCGGGCCTGCAGAGATGGAGCTCGAGGGGTGGGGCAATAGCGAGTGGGTGGGGCTTCCATGAATTGGGGTGGGGTTAGAGGGGGCGTGCCGCCCTAGGGGCGGAGCTGATGAGCCCCCACTGCTGCGCTCCAGACTATGGGGACAGGTGGGAAGGGCCAAGAGGGGGCGTGGCTGGGGCGGGACTAGCTAGGCTGGGGTGGGTCGCGGGGGCGGGGCCGAGGCGGTGGTGCCCGCCTGGGGGCGGGGCTACCGGGCCCGGGGTCGCATGGAGGCGGGGCCGAGGCGGTGGCACAGGGCTAGGGGTGGGGCCTCGGTGCCGCGAGGCGGCAGGCGACCGGCGGGCTGGTTGGCGGGCCCGCACTGGTGCGGCGAGCGGGCTGTACGACCGGTGGAGCGCTATGGCCGCTTCTCCGGTCTCTGGCGGCGGCGGTGCGGGAGCTGTCCACTCCTGCAACACGTCTGGCTTCGCCTTCGACTCGGGACTGGAGATCAGAACGCGCTCGGTGGAGCAGACGCTGCTGCCCCTGGTTTCTCAGGTACTGCGGCCCCGGGTCCCCGTGTGCGCGGCCCGCGATGGCGGCTGCCGCTTTTCCCTGGCCCGGCACGGCGGGGCGGGAGGCGGCGCT